GTGCTCCATGAGCTGCACGGCCACAACCCGTCGCGCTCCTCCACCATCGGCCTCACTTCCCCACACCGCACAACCCCCGGTCAAGTCGGTACAACACGCGCACACATGCACACACGCACACCCTACACAACACGCACACATGCACACACGCACACCCTACACAACACGCGCTGAGTCGACGTGTTGTTGTTGTTGTTGTTGTTGTTGTTGTTGTTGTTGTTGTTGTGGCGGTGGTGCAGGCGTGTGGATGCTGGTGTGTTCGGGCGGGCGGTACTTCAACGTGGGTCCGCCGTCATCGTCGCCGTTCCCCCTGGCCGCGTGGACCACCGGCGGACTGCGCGAGCGGTTCGAGAGCGTGCGCGCGCAGGAGACCGAGGACCGCCGTGGCCGCACCACCGCCATCGCCAGCCAGGCGCACGACAGGCACGACTTTGATTGGTGCGGATCGGGCGGCCTCTTCGACGACGAGGACGCCTACAAGGCCTGGCACATCAAGAGGTCCGTCGTTAATTTAATAGATGACATTTTTTTTTCTCTTTTATTATATTTTATGAATATTTCTTACATATTAACTGTGCAGTTGGCATGAGGGCGAGCCCTGTCGGCAGCTGAGCTGTCCCGCGGCGGCACGAAGTGTCGCCGGCCTCCACGTGTGGCCGCCGGAGCTGGCCGCCGTGGCGGGCTGGGCCAACGGCCACTTCCTCACCCAGGAGGCCGGCGGCCTCCTCTACTTCCACCTGGTCAACGGCGTCGTGCTCTCCTCCTGGGTGAGTGGACTCACTGAACCCCCCCCCCTCTCCTCCCTTCTGCTCATTTCGCGCGTGTTCTCAAATGCGCCACACGTGTGCCGTGTCGTGTGCCGTGTCGTGTGCTGTGTCGTGCGTGTCGTGTCGTGTCGTGTCGTGTGCGAACAGCGCATCGAATCAAGCGGCGTAGTGCGGGAGTCGTTTTGTCGGGCGCCTTTGTCGCGCCTCACGCCCAGCGATGTGTTCGCAGCCAACGCCACCGAGCTGCCCTCCGGCCAGAAGGTCAGCGCCCGCTCCCGCCAAGAAACCACCACCGACCATCACACCCTCCAACTCTGCGCTGTGTGTCGTGTCGTGTGTCGTGTGTCGTGTCGTGTCGTGTGTCGTATGGTGCAGGTGATGACCCACGACCAGTTCCTGGCCGGGCTGGCGCAGTGGACGAACCGCGACAAACAGTGCGTGGTGAGCCCCACCGGGGTGCATGTACTGTATGACGCCGGGCGCGGCTTCCCGCACGTTCGGCAGTGCCGGGTCTACCACCTGGACGCGGGGTCCGTCGCCCGCTCCAACCGCGAGTTCGTGCTCGACGGCGACGGCGACAAAGTGGCCTTCTTCCCCGCTAGGCGTGCTGGCTAAAAAAGGAAAAAGGAACAAAAGGAACACCCGCGGGCCGCGAAACCTCTTTGCCTTCTTTTTCCAACTCTCTTCTCTTTCCGGCTTACTCGACAAGACGCCTGTCTCATCGTTCAGCTCATAGCGAACTGCTTGGTATATTTTACTTCACCTCACCAACCTGCCTTTTTTGGTGATGATCTGGCAATCTGCATTTGATTTTGATGTAGCGACCTTCTTACATTTATGCATTTTGTAACTTAACAATAACCAGGCGACATGTCTGGCTACCAGAGACTGAATGAGGAACCGCCTCCGCCGCAGTACGCGCCGCAGTATGGGCAGCAGCCGCAGCACTACCCTCCCCCGCCGGAGGGGGCGCGGCGTGGTGGTGATGGTGATGGTCGTGGTGGGGCTGGTGATGGTCGTGATGGTCGTGGTGGTGCTGCGGCGGATAGGCCTGGGGCGGGGGCTGATAGGCCTGGGGCGGGGGCTGGAAGCCTTGGGGCACGCTGTATTGCGGCGGGGGAGGGTAGTGCTGTGATCATCCACACCCAGTCGAGTGGCACCAACCACGCCCTGTGGTGTCTCGTCACCGTGCTCACCGGCGGTCTCGCCCTTCCCTGCTGGCTGTGCGCCTGCTGCGCCGACGGCTGCTAGACTCCAGTAAATGACTGAGTTGGGTGGGGTGACGTTCACAAATGAATGTAAATGGGATTTTACTTCATTTCAGCAGAAGAAGAGGCGGAGACCACGGTTGTTGTGTTCAAAGAAGAGCAGGAAGAAGAAGAAAAAGGAGAAGGCCAGCAGGCAGGCGCCTGAGGCTCAGCCCTCCTGCTCACGCTCCTCCGCTTCCTTGGACTCGAACGAGATCACGTACCGCGGCATGACCTGGTCCGGCTCCTGCAGGAACGATCATCATCACCCCACCCACCACCAACATCGAAGGTCAGCAACAAAATGCGGCCTCGTGTGTGTGTGTGTGGTTGTGCGGGCACGTACGAAGATGATGATTTCGTTTCCCTTGGGCGAGCAGTGCGAGTCGTAGCCGGTCTTGCGGCCCGCTCCGTCCATCCGCCCGTCGCACCGATACGACTTGCCCTTCATCACCTGCTCCACATATGTGAGCGCGTGCGGTGTGCGTGTGCGCGCGTGTGTGTGTCGTGTGTGTCGTGTGTGTTACCTTGCACAGGAGAATCTGGTCGGACTGTCGCTCCTCGGAGTACCACATGGCATAGTCGGAGTAGATGGAGAAGTAGATGCCCTTCCCGAAGAACCCGTCGTCGAGCACCGTGATGTCGAGCTCCTCCTCCTCCTCCGACACCACCACCTTCTTCTTGCTCTTGCTCTTCGACGTCGTCGTCGTGATCTTCTTCTTCTTGTTCTTCACCACCTTGTAGCTCGCCGCGGCCTTGGCGGGCTTCTTGCCGCCGCCGCCGCTGTTCGAGTCCTTTTCGCTGGGCAGCTTGGTGGGCGGCAGGAAGCCGGTCTTGGCAATCCCCTCGATGCTGGGCCGCGACGTGCCGTGGAAGGCCAGGACCTCGTTGACGTCGCTCCCCGCCGCCGTCAGCTCGCTCTTCTTGGCCCGGTACTTCTCCTGCAGGTCCCGATTCACCACGATCCACACCTGGCGCGGTACCACCACGACGACCACCACCATTCTTTTGTTAGCCGCGCGCACGTGCGATGCGTGTAGTGTGTGTGTGTGTGTGTGTGTGTGTGTGTGTGTGTGTGTGTGTGTGTGTGTGCGTGTGTCGTGTGTGTCGTGTGCGGTTGTACACCTCTTTGATGGAGTAGTTGCCCTGGGCCTTGGCCATGGTCTGGTAGAACTGGGCGGCCACCTTGGAGAACACGCCCTGCGACACGCACACCGCACACGCGACACACGATCGAATCAGCTCTCGCGGTCTGCACAGGTAGTGACCACGAGGCTGGGGTCGAAAGAGAAGAAGAACGAAGAACGAAGCAAAACCTCCTGCTGCGCGGTCATCTTGCGCGACTTGGAGAGTTTGATGTAGCCGAAGCCGCCGCTGCTTTCCAAAAGCGCACGCTCCTCGTCCACCTCGATGTCGTCGTCCTTCTGCAAGCAAGAAGTCAAACGAACACGAACACGAACAAGAACAAGTAAGCAGGTGTCGAACGCAGTGATGATGACGACGACGATGTCGAAGAAGAAGAAGAGGGAGGGCATCGGGGGCAGCGTACCCTCTCACCATCGTCGTACTCGTCTTCGGTCCACCCGAACTCCTGCAGGATGTCGAAGTGGTCCTTGTCCGGCACGTTATGCGTGCGCCTGCGGGCAGAGAAAGAAAATAAAATACAATACAATAATAAATCAACAAATAAATAAATAGCAACACTTGAAATAAATAAAATAATAAGTAACTATACCGGAAGCCGCGTAGGATGCGCTTTTCGTCGGGGGTGATCTTGTTCTTGGCCAGAATGACCTGCACCACGCATCGGTAGGCCTCCTTCCCCGACGAATCCCCGCCCTGCTGTCAACGCGTTCCACACAACACCGCACACGCACCACCGCACACACCGCACACGCACACGCCGCACACGCACGCACCGCACACACCGCAGGTGAGCGCGGTGCTGGCACGTATTGTTTACGTGCTGGGCATATAGAGGCCAGGGTACCCTGGTGGAGGAGGTGGACGTTGTCGTCGGTGATGATGCGACGGAGGACGGCGTGGGCGCGCTGGGTGTGGGCGTGGGGGCCGGAGCGGCGGGCGCGGGCGCGACAGCCGACGAAGGTGCCGGCGGGGCGGCTTTCTTGGTGGCCGCGGCCTTCTTCGTCGTCGCTGCCTTCTTCACTTTCTTCTCCTTCTTGGGCTTGTCGTCAACGCCCGGATGCTTGAACTCTGCAGGAGCCGCCACCAAACGACAAAAAGTCAGCAAAACGGTCGACGGATCGTACGCGCACACGCACACGACACCACCGCACACGACACGAGCGCCCAGACGAGGGAGAGAGGCGATTGCAGCAGGTGTGTGGTACCTTTGAAGTGTTGTGGGTTCTGCTCGGACGTTGCGTAACGTACAGCGCAGGGCAGCACAAAAGATTTGAGTAAAACATACATTCGACGATGGTAAATCATCAAAAAAGACCAAATAATCGATCAGTAGTACCTTGCGGTAGCAGTTGGCGCCGTACCAACACGGGGGTCGATCGTCTTCTTCGTCTTCTTCTTCCTCCTCATCTACGTCTGTGTCGCCCCCTGCCGCGTTTTGCAGTTCCTCATCCACATCCGTGTCGCCCCCTTCTTCCTCCATCGCTGCATTTGTCGGGACGGCGGGCTCCAATTTGGCCTTCTTGCTGGGGCTCTCTTCTACTTCATCTGTCGTTGGCGTAGTTGACGTGGTGGGAGGGCAATTTTCATTTTGCGAATTTTGTGAGCTGCTCAGCTGCGGTTGTGAAGATGTCGGCGCTGCAGGTGCAGAAGATGTAGGTACGGCTGGCTCTGCTGCACTCGTATGTTTTCTCTTGGGCGGCATCTTCTTTGACCACTGTCTTTGATGAAAGTTGAACCCTAATCCCTTCGCGCCAAACTCAATTTTGCTTTTCCCGTAAAAAATTAGAAAAATTGTTTGTTTTTGTGTTGCATTGTAATAATAGTCATGCCTGTAAAAGGAATACGTTGGTGGTGGTTCGCCTTCACCTCCTCTCGAGTTTCTTGCCCTTTATCTTCTCCTCCTTGGCCAGCTCAGCGGTGTGGGGTCTCCTGAGCAGGTGGATCACCGTGGAGGCGTCGGGGTGCTGCAGGTGCGCCTCGTTGCTCACAAAGTAGACGAAGCCCGGCGGACACTTCACCTCCACCGTCGTCTTGCCCAACCTGCGTCGACAAAGTTGTCAGCGAGCGAAGCAAAAGAGAGAGAGAGAGAGAAAGAATGAAGGGGGTAGGGTACGGAGGGTGGTTGTAGCGGATGGTGAACTTCTCATCTTGCAAGTCGGCCAGGCGCATGCCGAACTCGCCCTTGGGTCCCATGGGCGACGTGCCCAGAAGGGGCAGACTGGTCTCCTTAGCAAAAACGACGCACGACTGATTGGGCTCCACCATGTACCGGTCGTGCTTCACCATGGGCGTGCCTGCATGATTGATGCAAACAAAGAATAGAGGCAAAAGGTGAGTTGCTCACGAGACAAAGGTGTTGTGGGTTAAAGGGGGGGCAACCACCTTCTTGTCCCCACTCGCACTTGGGGTCGCAGAACTCGAGCTTGTGGTCTGTCTCGTTGACCAAGAAGATGTTGAGAGGTCTATGGCCCTCCAGTTCTCTGTTTGTAAAGAACGTCATTGTGGGCATATAAAAGTTGGGGTTGTAGTTGTTTGTCTTCTATCAGTTGTTGTGGTTGGTGTCCACCGCACAGCCTACCCGCATGCGAAGGAGTGGGGACATGGATGACAGTGTGAGAGAAGAGGTCGAGAACTCCAACACCGTCACCTGAAATATCAACTGGAACGCGCTCCCTTCTCTTCCTCCCTCCTCTACGCCCGTGGAATGTCCGTTCGGGCATTAGTTCGAAAAAGGTAATTGATAAAATGTCGGACTTAAAACCAAACGCACCGGTTGGGTAGTGCAGGTGCCGAGTCTGGCAACCAGGTGAGTTCACTGTTCTTGTCTTCTCACGGCGTAAAAGGCCGAGAGCCAGGTCATTGGGTGACCGACCTCCACCTGCATTGAGTGCCAAGTGTCCCCGCAATCCGTCATGTCCATCACACCACCTGAAAAGGCCTGGACCGCACCAGCTCTCTTCACTTGCATAACCCACACCAACCACCTTACCACCCACCACCACTACAACTGCTAATGAACACAGCGGCCACGTTTCTGGTTCTCGTGCTGGCAGTAGTGCAGCTGCAGCTCCTTCTCGCCGACGGTCACGTTGTCCGTACGTCTTGTCTCCCAGGCATTAGGAGTTGAAGATGAAGACAACGCTTAACCTCCTGTTTTCTTTCATTTCTCTAAAGCTCGTGGCATCATCGAGAGGCGAGGCGTGTCAAGTTGCCACAAGAGGCAGGCGGCCGACGACTCCACCACGTCGTGCCTCCTGCAGCCCGAGTTGACTGAGGTCCCTACTATTGGCCCAACTCCACCGTCCGCCGCAACGTCACGTGTGACTTCCCCCATCATACTGCTGCGCCTACTCGTGCCCAATTCTAACACCTTCGATCGACACACCCAAGGGAGGGAAAGGAAGGCGTGCCTCTCTTCCTGAACATGACGGTGGTCGACGCAGCCACCTGCGAGCCCTTGTCGACGCCGCCGTAGAGGTGGCACTCGTTCTTTCAAGTCTTGCTTATGTTCTTCTTGTTGCGGCGGCTGTGCTGAATGGTTTCATCTTTTCGGGTCACACAACAGATCTGGCACTGCGACGCGCTGGGCGTCTACTCGCACTACACGTCGGCCGGGGTGGGCGGCCTCAACAGCTCGCGTGCCACGGACAATTCGACCTTCCTCCGCGGCGTGCAGCTCTCGGACCAGGCCGGCCTGGTGGGGTTCGACACCATCTTCCCGGGCTACTACGTGGGCCGCGACACCCACATCCACCTCAAGGTCCACCTCAACGGCAGCCTGGCCGCCGTCAACCAGACCAGCACCGGCCTCGAGAATGATGACGTCAACACCAACCAAACCACCGCCTACTACTACTATGCTGGGGGCAGCGTCGTGCACACGGGCCAGCTGTTCTTCGAGGACGCCGTGAGCGACGCCATTGACGCGCTGGCGCCCTACAGCACCAACCCTGGCAACCGCACGCTTCTGGATGAGGACAACATCTACGCCGGGGTGACCAACGCGTCCTACGGTCTGCTCGACGTGGCCTACCGCAACTCCTCGCAGGGCTACGCCGGCGGCCTGGTCGCCACCATCATCCTCGGTATCGACACCTCGGCCAGGCCGCCGACGACGAGAGCGGCCCAACTGGCGGCGGTCCCGACCAACCGTTGCCCCCGGGAGGCGCTCCTGGCAGCCCCTAAGCCACACGTTCCATGAAAGAACGCACGACACACGCAGCCTTTATTGTACTGATCTTGAATAAAAGCGAGATCGGTCATTGAAAGAGAAGGCGTCAGGGCAACGGGGTGCCGGTGAGGGGGTCGTAGTGGATGACCTGTTCGCGGCGCTGGCCCTGCCCTGCTGTCTCGACGACCGTGAGCCGTCCCCCGTACGCATCGTCGGTCGTGGCCACCTCCGCCCACGGGGCGCCGTTGCGATGAATCCGGACCGTGGCCCCGTCGGGCGTCGCCTGGACCATCTCCACCGCGTAGGACACGTCCACGCGGTAGGCCGGCCCGCCGCGCAGCTGCTCGACCACCCACCGGTCGCACTGCGGTGACTGCACCGCCGGCGAGCGCGGGCCGCTGCCGGGCGGCAGGGTCAGGTGGTGCCCGCTCCGCACGCTCTTCAGGCCGCCGTCGGCGCCGACCGTCCACCAGCTCCCGGGGTCGGTCGCGTTCTTCCACTGCACCACTTGGTCGCCGGCTCCGGTCTTCGCCGCGCGCACATGCAGAAAGCGCCACGACCGTGCGCTGCACCAGACGGTGACGCCGCCGTTGAAGAACTGCACCCACGCGCTGCCCTCGTCGGTTCGCTTGTTCCAGGCCACGACCGGGTCGCGGTCGGCCTGCTTCGACTGGCGCACGTGCAGGTGCATGTCCGATGAGGACCCGTGCCTGACGCCCACGAGCGGCCCAAACTCGAGTGCGCCGTCGTCGCGCACAAACATGCCAAACACGCCGAGCGACCAGCCGCGGTGGACGGTGAGCGCGGGGTCTAGTCGGCCGGCGGAGGTCAGGTACAGGTGCGGCGTCAGGTCCCTGCCGAGGTGCAGGAGTTTGGGCTCCGTCGGTGTGCCGCGGATGGCCACGTGGAAGTGGGCCCCGCGGCCGCTGTGGTCGTCGTGAAGCGGGTTGTTGGTCTCGAAGCCCATCAGCTTGACATGCACTCCGCGCTGTGCCAGGGCCGCACCCCAGCCGCTGTCGAGCAGCACCGCCCGCACGGCAAACTGGTAGGCGATGGCCGCCTGCGATTGGACGCACAGCAGCTCCGCCGAGGCCGCGGCTCCGTAGCCACCGCGGGCCGCGGCGGCCCAGAACCGGGCCGGTGGCACGCGGCCCGGGGCGTGGTGTTCGATGCGCTGGTTGAGGCCAAGCTGTTGGTCGTAGACAATGTCGGTGTGGACCTCGATGGGCGCCCAGATTCCCTTGTAGCCCGGGTCTGGCGGTGACCCGACCACCTCCATATCGAGCGCCACCGAGCCCCAGCCGCCACTGTCCCCATCGCCGCTCTCGGGCGTGGGCGTGGTTGCAATGCGACCGGCCGCACCGCGAACAGCGCCGCTTACGACCCTGAGCGAGGCCGGCGGGGCGTCGCCCCACTTGACGCGCAGGTTGTGGGCCATGAGGGGGTTGGGCGGCCCAACAACGAAGACGACGGCGTCGGTGGCCGAGACGAAGGCGTGGCGGAGGTGGGGCGCGTGGGGCTGGCCGACCAGGGACCACAGGGCGTCGTCGATGAGCTCGGTCAGGAGGGGTCTTGGTGGCCCCGTCGGCCTGCCAGCCCAGGAAGAGGCGCCAGGGGTCACGCGTGGCGACGGTCGGGTAAGGGCAGTTGCTGCAGGCCGCGGCGGCAGTGGACCTGACGATACGAACGGCGGTCCAACACGAGGCAGACCCAGCCATGGTGGGTTTGGGGGGAACTGCCTCAGTGGGGGAGGAGGCCGACATCATCATCTTGTTGTGGGGTGACTTGTTGCTTACGGTGGAAGTTATGTGGTCTCGAACAGAAGCTTCGTTTTGGGTGGGGCCGCTATTGGCTGTTCGCTGCAAAACGCTTCGCTCGCTGGCAATTCTGCGCCTTCGGGTTCGATTAGACGTGACGAACGCGTACGACTACAACTACTACGGAGGGTTTATAATTACAGCAGTGACAAGAAGGAGAGGATGAGAGAGAAGAGGAGAACGAACGGAGAGGCCAGGGGAAGGAAGCGGAGGTGATCGTCTCGTGAACGGCCGATCAAGCACCGGCCGGTCAGCCAGCCGCTCACTCGGCTCCATCGTCATCGTCCTTCTCCTCGTTCTCGGTCGAAGCGCTTTCCGTATCGCTGGTTGATGTGTCGTCGGTGTCGCTGGTCGTCTCTCCCTCCCCTGTGGAGTGCGGTAGAAGAAGAAGAAGAAACGCGTAAGATGGCGGCGCGGTTGGGTGCAGGAGGCGTGTGCGGTGGGAGTGTACCTTGTTTGGCTTCGAGCTTCTTGAGCTTCTTCTTGAGCTTTTTGAGCTTCTTCCTCATGGAGTCCTGCCAGTACTCGGCCTCCATTCGCCGCTCACCCTCCTTGTGCAGGGCGTCCATGAGGTCTTTCTCCACCTTCTGCAGCTTCTTCTCGTACTCCTCGTTCGAGTCCTGGAGCGAGGCGTTTCGCTCCTTGGCCTTCTCGAGCCGCTCCATGATCGACTTGTACTTTCGCTCCTTGGACTTGGTAGATTGCTTGAGTCGCTCGATGGTCTCCTCGTAGGAGTAGACCAGCTCGTTCTCCCGCTTGTACCGATCCTTCCAGTACTTGATTTGATCTGACGTCGAAGATGCCGATGTGCCGCTACTCGATTTGGAACTCTCGCCGTTGACGGCGGCAGATGAAGTGGAGGAGGATGAGGAAGAGGTTGCACCGGATTCCTCCTTCTTCATTTCGTCTATCTCTCGAGCGAGAGTGTCCATCTTCTTGCGATGTTCGGTCAATTCACGCTTGAGCTCCTCCTTCTCCTCCTCGACCTTGGCGTGCGCCTCATGCAGCTCCTCGATCGCATCCTCCTTCTCGCGCAGCTGCCCCTCGAGAGCCTTCATTCTCTCGTATAGCGCTGCCGGCTGATCAGGGCCACCTATTGAGCCGCTGCCGTACATGCCGATGCCGTTCCCCATCGAGCCCATGTCCTTGGGCGCGTAGAGGGCCATGACGGTGTCGAGCCGCTTCTGGAGCTGCGCATTTTCCATCACTTGCTCCTCCAGGCAGAAGGTGAGCACGTTGATCCGTCGCTCGTACTCCTGCGCCTTCTCCTCGAGCGATGGCCCATTCGAAGATGAGGTGGTTGCAGAGACGGGGGGATGGGGTGGGGCTTTCGAGTTGGAGGAGAGGGCGTTGAGGGACGCCTTGCGCGCGGCTGTGGGTTTGGGCTTTTCCATCGCTTCCACCTCGTCTGTCCATCCCTGATTTGATGTTTGCTTCTTCGATGAGCCACCAGAGAGTTGGCGCATGAAATTCATTTTGCGAACAGTGCTGCGTCGCCGCTCTCCTCTTGACTCGAACGAATGCCGCCACAAATTGACGAGGGTGGTGCGTTAATCTCTCACCTCAGGGGGTACCCCACCTCGGGGAGTCACTCTTGCTTCTGGGCTCACCCATTTCCTTCGCCATTTCCCAGCCTTAAAAAAATTAATTCAACAAGAAAAATAAAGCTTGGCGACAGGGCAACCACCGGCAGAGCAAGCGCTATTCGTCGGCCTTGGGTTCCTCCTTCTCTTCTTCGTCGTCGTTGGTCCTCCTTCGCTTGATATTGGCCTCCGGCGGCTGCTGGTCATTGCCGTCTGCGAGGCCTGCAACATCAATTGACCATCGCCCACAAGCGGTGTGGACCTGGTCAGCTGCCACTCAACCTCACACGACCACACACAATCACACGACACACGACACACACCTGAGCTGCGGAGTCGTTTCGCGTTCGAGTGAATGAGGAAGGGCGCGTCCTTGGACTGGTCGTCATCGTCATCGCCTGCCCCCGCCAGGAACGCTGCAGGCCACGTCATCATTCATTTCAGAGCATTCATGCATTCAGCCGGGGGCGAGCGGGCGGCGACTGGAGTAAGTACCTTCGGCATCGATCTGTCCCTCGGCCTGGCGTCGGAGCTTCTCTTGCCGTCTGGCCGCTCGCTCGGCCTGCTCCCTCTCTCGTCGCTTGGCGTACCTGATCATCATCATGATCGTCGTCGTCGTCGTCATCATCATCACGATTGGACCGTTAGCGTCAATGAGCGGCGTCGGCAGGACCAAGACGAAAACGGAAAAAAAGCGAAAGCGAAAGCGGAGGGCGTACTCCTCGGTGCCGGGGATGAATTCGGGATTGAGGCATTTCTTGAGCTTTCGGTCGATCTTCTTCACGCGCGACACGTCCATCTGACCGCCCTCCATGATGTACTTCTGGATGGCCTCGACGTTCAGCCGCAGCTGGTCGTAGCCCGCGTTGGTGTGAAATCGGCTATGCATATACCTGCACACCACCAACCTCATTAGCACCCACCCCAGCATTGATCGGGTCGTGGTCCTCAAGGTACACGACACGCACCACGACACGACACGACACACAACACACGACGCACACGCACACGCACACGACACGAAACACGCAGGAAGGAATGCGTACTCGGCGAGTGGGTATCCCTCTTCTTCAGAGGCCTTGCGGAGAGCGGCGAGGGCGAGCTGAGCGGGCGGATAGAGGAAGGGAGCGTCGGTGATGAGGAGATCGTTGATGTGGCGACGTGCTCGTCCCTGCAGCTTCTCTGGGCTCGCGGGCGGCGATGTCGACTCCTTCACCCGTCGAGACTCGGGTCAGCGAATTGGTGGCCACCTGGCCAGGCGCGCGCAGCAAAGATTTGAGGGTGAAGGGTGGCACCTTGAGATCGATGATGAAGCCGTGGAGTGGGTTGTAGGGCAGATGCACGATCAAGTCGAATTGCAGGCCCTCCAGCAGCGGAATCTCCATCGCCAAGACGTCCTCCTGTGAGCAGCACGTCGTCGTCGCCATCATCATCATGGTAGAACGTAGAGGAGTATGAGCGTGTGCTGGCGTCACGACGCAAAAGAAGTGCATGCTCACCTTCTTGGCGTTGACCGGGCCGGCTATGTTGTCCACGGGAAGCACCACCTCTTCGACCTTTGCCGCCAGGTAGATGGAGGCCAGCCTGGCAAGTAGGAGCAGATTAATCTCTCATTTGTAGAAAGAAGGTGGATGATGGTGGTCTGGACGACGCGGCGTACATGATGTGTCGCAGGTCGTGATGCGTGATGGCATTGGAAAGGAAGAAGCGCTTGAAGTAGATGGTGGCTGTGCCCAGCACCTTCTCTGGCAGACCGAGCTGCCCAAATTCTCTGATCTTGGTGGCGTACCACTTCTTGATGAGATCTTCTTCCTCGATGGACAGGGTGCGTGCCGAGATGGCCTTCTGCCGCTTCTCCTCGATCGATGCATCGCCTCCCTCAGCCAATTTGGCAGCGGCCTGGCGATCGATCTGCGCAATCACCTTCCCGAAGGCCTTGTCGTTGCATTCCTGCTTTCGTTTTCGCAGGGCGTCCTCGCTCGTGAACAGCCAATCTCTGCAATGCGAGGACTGAGCGAACGGGATCATCTGCCTTCTCCTTTGAAAATCAAATAAAATAATTATTCACGCAGGCAAAGAATACAATTAATTGTTATTTGTTTATTTTCCCAATTAATTGTTGTGGAATGGCACCGGTTCCTCACTTCTTGGTCGTCTTCTTGGGGGTCGCGGTTTTCTTCTTCTTCTTGATGGCCACCGACAGGTCGTTGGCGGGAAGTAGTGGCTTGACGGCAGCGGCAGCGGCGGCCTGCTTCTTCTTCATGCCCTCTTCTTCCTCCTTCTCCTTTCGCTCGATCTCCTCCTTCCTCTTCTGCTCCTTCGCCATCTCCGCCTCCAGTTCCCTTTGTCGCTTCTTCAACGCCTCCACCTCGTCTTCTTTCTGGCCCTTGGCGAAGGCCGAGTGGAGCACCACCGTCGTCTCTTCCTCTTCCTCCTCATCTTCGCTCTCTTCATCATCGCTTTCGACGACCGTCTTCTTCGCCTTCGTGGATTTCTCCTCTTCGTCCATGGCGTCGACTCGTCGCGACGAGGCCTGCTTCTTGACGTCGGCCAGGAAGCTGTCCACCACGGAGGGCGTCGCCTCCACCTCCTTGATCGTCGTCGTCTTCTTCTTGGCGGCGGCGGCGGCACCATCATCTTCGTCGTCCCACGACATGATCGGGATCTCGGTCTGCTTGAACTCGAACGCGGGCGCGGCTGTTGTGGTGGTGGACGACGAAGCGGCGACAGCAGGCTTCACCACGGCGGGAGCCGACGGCGCGTTCGTCACCGCGGTCTTTGCCGGCGTGGTCACCGAGGCAGGCGGCGGCACAACCTCGGTTGCGCTCCTGCAGTCGTCGATCAAGGCGAAGCATTATTATTAGTATCAAGGTCATGGTCGCTGTTGGGCACGCTGGCTGAGTGTAGCGTTGATGGTGATGGTGATGGTGGTGGTGATGAAGGGACGTACGGAGCCACCAGGTGGAAGGGTCGAGGGACGGCACTGGGCGTGGGCGGCTGGGCCGTGATGGCGGACTGTATCGCCTGGATAACGTCTTGCACCTATTTCGCCACCACGAATAAATAGCAATAGCAAATCAGAGAGAGAGAGAGAGAGCCACAAAGACATTGGGCTAGATAGAAGGGCAGGGTGCAGGCAGGTGGGCAGGGCCTTGTTACCTTGACGGCAGCGATCTTTGAGCACTTGACGAGCGTGTTGAGCGGCAAGCCGGGTCCGCCCGACTTGTGTACACCGCACAACTCCCTGTGCTGTAATGCGCAACGCGTTCCACACCGGGGAATAATAAATTAATTACTCTACTGTGCGATCGATATATCGGCAGGTCGGGGCCTGACACGATGGTGGGGCGTGGCGGGGAGGAACCGAACCTGGTTGTGGATGAGAGTAACTCGGCCGTTCAGCGACTGCTCCTCCTTGAACCAGGGATCCACCACCACCTGGTCGCTGCCATTTCCAACACATGACGTCAGTCTCCAGCACCAAAGAAAATAGTGACCAGCTCGCAGCAAGTACGAACCCATCACCAAAGACGGCAAAGGTGACGCAGAGGGGCAGATGGTGAATGCTGAGGGGGACTGGCTCCCTGTCCGCAACGGAGTGCTGTACACCGAGAGCGAAGGATGAGTGAAGTGACCACACTTGCTGGGTGAGCGACTACATGTAGTCCGCTCGAACAAAAACCTTGCACGTGGAGAAGTGCGTACGACGGTGATGGCGTCGCCGGTGATGCTGACGTCGGGTCGGCGGAAGTGAAGGAGAGCCGAGACGGTAGCGATCGAGGCAGCGTCGATGAGGTTGCCGCCATCATCGAGCACGTGGACGTCGATCTGCACGGCCCACACCTTCTCGCCCGCGCGAATGCACAGGGCTTCGGTGTCGATGGCGCGGCTGTCCCTCAGGCTCCGCTCGATCAACCGACCAACTTCCACGGCCTCTTCCGACACTCTAACAAACACATAGAGCACGACACACGCGCGTCAGAGCTCGGCGCAGCAGAAGCAATGCGCGACCGAGGCGCAAAGTGCGTGTACCTGGCGCCGACTTCAAAGGAGGCAGAGGCCATGGGTGAGAACTCGGTGTTGAAGATGAAGAAGCCCTCCGTCGGCCGGTCGGCATAGGGCTCCACCACTTCACAACGCACGACTACGTACACCCTGCCAAATTGTTTGAAAAAGATTAATCACATTTGGAATTCGAGTAGAAGGTAGATTGCGATTGAAAGAAGGAGGCATAGTGAAACGATGGGTTAAAATCGAGGAGAAGTGGTACCTGGTCTGGCCGAGTTGGACCTCGCAGTAGCCCGGCTGGTAGGGGAAGGAAATCTTCAATGTGCGATAATCGTAGAGGCCACGTCCATCCAGACGCCGGCCCTCGGCCAGAGAGGCGAGCAGAAACTCGCGCTCATTCAAGCTCAGCTTCTCCCCCTTGCTGCCCTTGCTACTCCGTGCCATCTCCTTCCTTCGCGCTAATCTGAGGCCAATTCACGATTACAATCTATTTCTCTTTTTTTCCCTTGCCCCGAATTTGAAGAGTGGTGTGTGCGTGTGCGGTGGTGAATGTGTGCACCCAAAACACAAGGAGAGGACACGTGGCTGAACATGAGGGTTTCTATGTTTTGCTGAAGAGGTCGATGCACCGACGTTCAGTGGTACCCGTTGATCGTCTCGTAGTGGCAGCGCCTTCTTCTTCGCAGCCACAGAGCCCAGGCCACAACACCCGCAATCACCAGCACACCGCCCACAGACGCCACCACGGGGATGATGATGTGCCACGGCACCGCGTCACCACCCGACCCGGACTTGTCCTCCCAAATGGTGATGTTGAACGGCGCGCCGCTGATCTCCGTGGACAAGTTGAACGTGACGTGCAGCTGCTCGAACCCACGCGAAGCCGGGGCCGTGTAGGTGAAGAAGATTCTGTAGCGGTTCGGGCTCATCGATGCGCTGCCCAGCAGGCCATGCGACCCGGGACCTGCTCCACCTTTCACATCAGCCTCCACATGCACCACCGCACACGCACACGAACACGCCACACATGCCGCACACGCACACGAACCAAGTGGGAGGCGAGAAGTACCGAGGAAGATGCTGAAGTCATTGAGGCTGCCCTGGACGGGATGGCCGTTGTCCTGGATGAAGATGGTGCACGGCAGTTTGCTCCCCGCCTCGATCGATGCCGACGTCGCGCCCGCGTCCGTGCTGTAGCAGACGAGATTGGAGGTGGCGTCGGGCCGGGCCTCGACCACGGTCGCCACCTGCACGTAGTCGGTCAATGCGCCCCACAGCTCGACGCAGGCCCACAGCGGTCCCAGCGCCTGGGGTCCGCCCGCGGTGAACGTGACCGTCGCTGACGTGGCATCGTCGCTGACCTGCACCACCTGAGCCTCTACGTTGTTGCCATTTACATCTTTGAAGAAAAGATGCAAGTCCTGGTCACCACCACTGCTTCTGGTGTTGATGGTGGGCAGACCGAGGTAGTGCCCGTCCACGGTGAAGGTGGTGGTGTACTGGGGCACCTGGGTGGTGTTGGAGGCCACCAGCACGGGCGCGGGCATGACGGTCGCTACGCGGGTCCAGGTGGTCAGGTAGGTGCCGTTGGTGAGGCCCAGCCGCGCGGTGATGTTGTGGCCGACGAGCGACTCCGCCAGGGCCGCCGCGTTGAACAACCAGGTGGCGTCGCAGCGCAGGCCCAGGATGTCGCCGCACGAGCACGAGGCGCTCAACATCTTGGCCGGCGGGTCGAACGGCGGGTCGAACTCGACGACGGTGCGCGGGCTGAGGAGGTCTACGTTGGTGGTGCCGATGTCGAGGCTGGTGGCTCCGACGGCGAGCCTGGTGTCGATATCCACCACGGTGGCGGGGCCACTGGGCTGGCAGCTGCTAGCACTCGCCGCGGAGTCTCTTAGGGCAAGTGAAGAGGCACCGGACGAAGTGGTCCACGCCACCACAGCAAACAGAAGCATCAAACGAACCACCAACATCGCCTTCACCACCTGCTGCTCCAACCAGCTAAGACAACAAACCAACTTGCTCGCTCCCTATCCGGAATCAAACAGCAAAAATAAATATTTATCGAACCAGGAAAAATACAGGAAACAATTCAAGAAGAAAATAGTTTGTTTGTGAATCTCATCACCAACGATTTGGCCAGGAGGATGGAGTTGAGCGCGATTATGGACGAGACGGCGAAGGGCAAGAAGCGATCCATCGACGAGGTGGTCCAAGAGGAAGAGAAGAAGGTTGAGGAGGTGGGCGAAAAGGAAGAGAAGCCGGAAGATTCAACCGATAATCCGCTGTTGAATCTCAAATTTTCGGCCAACCAGAGCATCCTCGACGATGTCCCCCGCCAAAAGGTTTCACCTACCTGCATTGGTCTAATTTTATTAATCCAAAATTTGCAGCTTAAATAAATGAACGTGAATTTGGTGCAGTGCGAGCGTTGCAACGCCATGTTCAAATTCTATTGCTACGATTGCATACTGCCCGTGGGCAACATTACCGACCAGATCCCCCACGTGCCTCTGCCGGTGAGCTGCGACATGTACGTGGTCTACTCCTATGCACTTGTCCTGCTCCTTCTCTTCTGATGACGCTTCACGCCTGCCTCTCTTCCTTCTGCGTGTGCGGTGTGTGCAACAGTCTCTACCACCCCACCGAGAGACGAAGCAAGAGCACAGCGCTGGTACGTGCGTACTCCAGGTGGTGTCGTGTATCAAGATGCTTTTCTCTTCTTCCTGCCAGCTCACACACACACACACACAAACCTCTTCTCACAGCATGCCAAGATCCTGAGCCCCGAGCTGGTGTCGGTGCACACGTTCCCCGACCTGCCCGACTACAACCCGGACGAAGTGTTCCTCCTCTATCCCTCCAAAGTATGACCTCCCACTCTGTGTCTCTGGCTCTCTCTCTCTTCGTCCAAGCTCACGTTCTACTCGGTGTGGCGTGCAGGACGCGAAAAACATTGAAGATATCGACGTCTCGAAGATGAAGAAGCTGGTGGTGATCGACTCCACATGGCAGAAGGCCAAGACCATCCTGCGCGACGAGAGGTACACTACCACACACACACCACACACACACACACCCCATAACGAAACCTTGTTCATGACGTAAACCATCATCTGCTCACCTTACGTGCGCGGCCTGTGCGTGTTGTTGGACCGGACAGGGTGAGCAAGCTGCCCTGTGTGAAGATCAACAGCCAGAAGACCCTCTTCTGGAGGTACCAGACGGTGGGCGAGAATTGCCTGGCCACCATCGAGGGTACGGCACTCCACACAGGCCTGCGCAGCGTTCTCTTCAGCCGTTGCTAACGTCTTCTGTTACGACGTTATTGTAGCGATCTACTACTTCTACCGGGAGTACTACCAGAAGCAACTCGGCACTTACAACGGACAGTACGCCTCTCTCTCTGTCTGTGTTGTGTGTTGTGGTTCGGCTACGCATAGTTTGACCATGCATATTCTTCTTCTTCTTATGTGCAGGTACGACGACCTTCTGTTCTTCTACACGTACATGTACAACCTCATCCAGAACACGTACAAGCAACAGAACAAGAAGTTCAAGCGAATCGATGGCTGGCTCAAGGAATGAAGTAAAGCCTTTTTTCTCTCTTCGCTCTTTTCGCTCTTTTTTCTTGGCCCTGCTGCATGACAACCGCAATCTGAGCGTGTCCGGGACATGCTGCGTGACGGCGTCGGAGACGACCTCGATTCTTCTTCTTCTTCTACAGTCAGTGAGCAAAGCGGCAGCGATGAAGGCAACTACAACACCCTCTGCGATGACACAGGTGGAGAACAAGCTGCGGTCCATCCTCAGCCTCCACGGCGAGGGAGTGCGCGTGTCACAGTTTCCGCCACTGCTCCCCACCTGGCGCCAGTTCGGCGACGCCAAGCTCAAGCTCTTCTTCAAGCGCTTCCCCAACACGGCGGCCGTGATTCAGGCGGGAGGTGACCACTGGGTAGTGCCTGCTCGGCCACTGCTGCTGCAGACGGCTAAGTCCGGCGTGACTGCTCTGCTGAACAGGTCTCCCGCGAAGGCGCTGGACCTGGACGAGCTGGTGGCGGCCTATGCCCAGCATAACCACAACGCCAACTTGGACTTGCTCGCCCAGTTGGCCGGGGAGAAGTACGTGGAGGACCTGCTGGAGGGGATCGGCTTCGCCATCGTGCCCAACGGGGAAAGGGACACGGTAACGTTTCGACACGGTTCAGCCCCTTCAGCACAACAGCCGCCACAAGTGGTTCGTGTAAATCTCCGAACGCTACAGCGAGGAACGACTCAAAATTAACCCCTTCCTGGTCGCGCTGCGTAGCCAGCTACTGCGGTAGCCAAGGCCGCCGCTCCGCCGACGGCCAAAGCCAGTGCCAATGGCTCCGTGCAGCCAAGCACAACAACTGCAGCCCCAAAGCTGGAGAGCGTAGACTCTGCGGTGGTGGTGGTTGTCGACACTGTGGAGCAGTGCCGCAAGGTGGTGGACGAGGTCCTGACCCACGACCACCCGCTCGCGCTCGATTGCGAGGGCGTCAATCTGGGCGACAAGGGCGGCAGTCTGTGCTTGGTGCAGATCGCCACGAAGAGCGGCCGGTGCTTCCTGTTCGACGTCGAGCAGGCCGGCAGCCGGCTCTTCAGCGAGGGCGGTCTCCAGCGGGTGCTCGAGGACGTGCATGTCCTCAAGGTGGGCCACGATCTGCGAGCCGACGCCGCCGCGCTGTTCGCCCAGCACGGCGTCTTCCTCAACCACATCTTCGATACCCAGGGTACATTCCACACCCTCTTTCAAATTCCGCAACTCGGCCTGCTTGAAGACGCGGTAATTATCAATTATTTGAGAAATGCGCCTGACCTGCACATTGCATTCCTGCGCCCAGTGGGCCATTCGATGCTGACGCTGCGCAAGGAGCCGCAAGTGGGGCTCAACGCGATGCTGCGGCGCTACGCCAATCGCGCCCAGAACCAGCTCAAGGAGGTGGTCAAGGCCGAGTGGACCAGGGACCCGCTCTACTGGACCCGCCGCCCACTTTCCGACCAGATGACCCGCTACGCGCACCTCGACGTGGCCTTCCTCCTCAAGGCCTTCGACTCCATGGCGGCCGAGCTCGAGAGGAAGTCCATTTTCAACAACGCCATCACCCTCTCGCGCCATCAGGTCGACCACCGCAGACGATCTCCAGCTGCCGCCCCAGCCGCAACCGCGGCCGCCCAGGACATCGACTTGCCTGGTACCAACCCCATGAGATTCAGTCCGATTGGTGGTGGTCACTGGTCTCATTTTCTTCTTTCTCATCGCTTTTCATTCTTCGCTTTTCGCTCCTCGTTCTTTGTGCTTTGTTCTTCGCTCTACGCTCTACGGTCTTTACGGCAACCAATCAACGATAGACGAGGAGGAGCGAGTGATTGCGGAGCAGTGTCCCATCAGTCAGGGCGAAGAGGACCTGGGCCTCATCCTCGACGCCCTGCCCGAGCACCTGCGCGACGCGCTCCTGGCCGATGGGCGCCTGCACGGCCTCGTCGAGATCGTGCTCGACCTCGGCCGGCCGCTCATGGCGCGCTTCTCTGGGCCGGGCCTGCCGCGCGTGGCCGAGATTTCCGGCCGTGGCGGCGAGGGCGAGAATGTGGTCAGCGAGCACGACCTCGACCACTTCTCCAACTCCATCACCCGATTCGATTCCGAAAACAGGCACGCACCGCACACACCGCACACACACCACCGCACATGACACTCACGAAACAACACGACACGACACACAGGGCGGGTATCTCGAAGACGCTGCACAGAATCTCGCGGCTGCAGAACCGGTCGGGCGACGTGGTGGGCCTCACCATCCGTGTGGGCAAGACCCTGCGGGGCCTGGTGACCATGGTGGCCGACGTGCTGGCCCGCGCGGCGCCGTGCAAGGCCTCGATCCTTCTGCTGGGCGCGCCCGGCATGGGCAAAACGTCGGTCATCCGCGAGATGGCGCGCGAGCTGGCGCGCGAGTGGAGCGTGATGATCGTCGACACGTCGAACGAGATTGCGGGCGACGGCGACATTCCGCATCCGGCCATCGGCGCGGCGCGGCGCATGCAGGTGCCGCAGGCGTCAGAACAGCACAAGCGCATGATCGAGGCCGTACAGAACCACACGCCGGACGTCATCATCGTCGACGAGGTCATCTACGCCCCACAGTACATTCATTCTTCTCCATTGTAGCTGAAACGAATGATGTGTTGTGTGTCGTGCGCGCAGATTGGGACGGCCGAGGAGGCGAAGGCGTGTTGCACGATCGCGCGGCGCGGGGTGATGCTGGTGGCGACGGCCCACGGCGTGACGTTGAGCGACGTGGTCGACAACCCGAGCCTCAACTCGGTGGTGGGCGGCGTCGAGGCCGTCATCCTGAGCGACGCAGCGGCGCTCGCCCGCGGGTCCGCCCAGAAGACGGTGCGCGAGAGCCGGGGTCCATCGGCCTTTGGGCTGGCGATCGAGCTGCGGTCGCGGAGCGAGTGGGTGGTGCACGACGATGTGCGGGCCAACGTGAACCGGCTCCTGGCCGGGAAGCCGATGGCGGTCGAGGTGCGGCGGCGGCTGGCCGACGGGCGCGTGGTGGCCACCCGGCAGCTCGTTCCCGCCACCGCCGCCGCCGCCGCCGCAGCCGCTACGATCACCACCGACGGGGGCGCCGATGCATCATCGATCGTCAACAACGAACCGACGGAGTGGGGCGAAGGAGAGGAGGAACAAGATGAAGAGTACTCCAGTGACGATGATCGCGACGATTAAGTGCCCCTCTCGGCCCGCAGGCCCAACTGTGAATGGCATCAGCACAGCATTGGCTGTCGACCTCCTGCTTTTCGCTCAGAGCAAACGTAGTTATTAAAGTGATCAATTTTTGGTATTTGTCCCTTTCGCTTTTTAGGCAAGGAATGTAACCAATGGACGCAAGTAAGCGGAGGTCCGCATACCTAAAGGTGAATCGACTGGCCTGTGCTCTAATTGTTCACCATGGACGACATATTGGCCGCAGCTGCGAAGCTGCAGGAGCAATACAAGCACCTGCAGGAACGCAACAGCCGACTCACTGCTGCGCTGGAAGATAAGTCGAAGAAGCTGCAGGCCTTGCACCAAAGCGTCGAGCAGCGAGGGAAAGACCTGGCCGCACTTGAACTACAGGTCCAGGGCACTGAAGCCGCGCTCTAGGCGCACCACAAGTTCGCCGAAGAGCTGCGCCTGCGAGCCGGGAGCAGGGTCAAGCTCGACGTCGGGGGCGTCCACTTCACCACGAGCCTTACCACGCTCATGACCGAACCCGACTCTATGCTCGCCGCCATGTTCAGCGGCCGCCACGAGCTCGAGAAGGACGACGACGGCCGGGTGTTCATCGACCGCGACGGGGAGCTGTTCAACTATGTTCTTCAGTACCTTCGCGAGGGGGAGCTGGACCTGTTTCAACTCCCCTCGGGCGTCAAGCAACGGCTCAAGCGCGAGGCCGCCTTCTACTGCCTCCCCAAGCTCGAGGAGAAACTAGGGTCCGACGCCGAGGCCAAGGCCCTTCCAGGCAGTGTTCATTTGGCAGTACTGGTTTACTACGGCCCTGGCGTTGAGCCTCGCTTCATCACCCAAGGCGACCCTTTACACCTCGCCGACAGATTCCCGAAACTGCAGGGGTCTTATCCTGACCAAAGTGTGGTACGCGAGCTCTGGAGAACCCGCGTCCTGCCGGTCATTCTTGAGTCTTATCACAATTACCACCTGATCTCTGTCGAGAAGGAGAGTCCGTATTATTGGGAGGTGCACCTCAATCGAATTGTGCCTTGACCGCCAATAAACAGTGAGGCTTTGGGCCAGCACGTTGGGATGTTTGTTCTCAACAGCTCCTATATGTGAGCTTACAAGACGGCATTGATCTTCTGGCTTTCAAGATGGCGGCGCGTCTGCCTTGGTGCTGCCCGGGTTGTTCACGGGCAGGAGGGCCTGCTCGACCTCCTTTCGCTGGCTCTCCACCGGTGACCAGACCGGCCGAGCGAGCTCCAGACCCTTCGTCGTCCTGCATCACTCAAAAATATAAATATAAATAATATGTTTCAATATTCAATAATCGAATTCAGGGCCGTACCGTCCGTAGGAGATGCCGCCCAACCGGCTCATGCTCTGCAGCTTGGCCTGGTCGATGACGTAGTTGGGCTGCAGAACGTCCTCCCGCACGTGGAAGAGCTTGACTCGCCCAAAGAGCGACGTGCCCGTCACTCGGCCCTCATCGTCCTAGCCACCACCGCACACACCACCGCACACACGCACAGTCAACACATGATCGCGCAGAACCGGGAGTAGAGAGCACGCAGGTGGTGTGTGGTGTGTGGGTGTGTGGTGTGGTGTGTGTGGTGTGTGGTGTGTGTGGTGTGTGGTGTGTGTGGTGTGGTGTGTGGTGGGTGCACCTTCATGTCGTAGTAGTGCTCGAGCACGCACTCCATGCTGAAGGCGCTCTCCTTGACCCGCGGGGGCTTGACCACCTGGCTGGGCTCCCTGGTCAGTCCGGCCAGGTCCCACTCGCTCAGGTCCGCCGGCGCATCGATGCTGGTGTAGTTGGCCGCCTCGATGAACGCCTCCGAAATGATATTGACCACAAACCTGTGTGTCGTGTGTCGTGTCGTGTGTCATGCGTCAGTGGTGTTGTTGGGAAAAGAGCGCACACACACGAACAAACGCACTCTTTGGTCGTCTTGACGTTGTTGCACGTGTCCTTCTGCTTGTCTGGCCCTGGGCTCGAGCACGAGAAAACGACCATCGGCGGGTTGTGCCCGCAGGGCGCAAAGTAGGAGAAGGGCGCAAGGTTCTGCTTGCCGTGCTCGTCCTGCGATGACACGAACGCAATGGGCCGGGGCGTCTACCACGTGTGATCGACCACACCCACGTCATTGGTCATCATGTCAGGTTAGCTCGTGCTCGTCCACAGTGGGCTTGTGTTGTGTTGCGTTGCGTTGCGTTGTGTGTCGTGCGAAGGAAAGAGTACGATGCCGCCGATTATGAGCTTGTAGACGAGGCCGGGTTGCTCGTGCGCGGGGTCGATGTGCTTGAACGGTGCGTCGACCGGCCACGGCAGCTGGTTCGAGCCCTGGCCCGGCACCCACTCCGGCGCCGGCGTCTTGGTGTAGGCAAACGGTTCCTCCTCAAAGTCCGGGCGCGCAGCCTCTACCTCTATATTTATAATTATTTATAAAATAAATAAAATTAATAAAGGAGCCGCAAAAATAAAGTAATAAATATAAACAAATAAACCAAAGAAAAGGGGGAGTGGGGCTGGGTACGCTTGAATGGGGGATGGTGCGACATCTTTTTTGGGTCGACACTGAAGTGGTGTGGCCGCGAGCGGTACGGGGGAGAAGGAGGTGTGGAGGGTGCGTGTTGCGTGCGGCGGAGGAGAGTACAAGTGGCACAGCGACCAAGTGCCGCGCGGTGGTGTTGCGGTGGAAGGTTGGGCGGGAGAACATGTTTCGGCTTTCCGTGGAGCCTATCGGCGAACACCAAACCCGCCAATACTCTCCTTCGTCGAGTAATACTGATGCAACATATTGCCATTTTCATTTTTTTACCCGGTATTTGCCAAGAATGACAAGAATTTTCTACGCCTGGCCAGTCCCACAATAGTTGGCTACTAAGTCCAGATAGAAAAGGAGGGAAAGGGCATAAGGAAAAGTAGCCTTAAACTAATGAGTAAGGAAAATACCGCACCGGTTGACACCGGTGTTATGGCGTGAACCGCGTTCACGTCGGCTTCCAATTTCTGGCGGGCTACAGGCCTCGGCCCTCTTGTAGTGACCTGCGCCTACTTTCGCGCGGGATGCTCGAGTTGGCTGGCCTCCGAACCCCACCCATCAACCTAAAAACAAACTAATCAAAAACACAACACAACACGCGTGTGTCGTCCTGTGTGCGCACACGCTTGAGTGGTGAAGCCAAAAATTATTGCGTGCGTGCGTGTGGAAGAGAGACTGCCCGGGCGCTCTACTGGGGCGAGACCAGGTGCCAAGCCTTGGGGATGGTGAAGGTGCGGATGCCCTCCACGCCCAGCGTCGCGCCGAGACCAGAGAAGTTGCGGCCGGACCAGGGGAGGGCAGGGGCCACACGATCGCAGCAGTTCCAGTACGCCGTTCCCGTGTTGTACTGGCCCAGAACGCGCTTGGCCCTGTTGTGCGTGTGTCGTGTGCGCGTGTGCGGTGGTGCGTGCGTGTTAATAATTCTATATTTCCCAACCACGAAAGAGAGATGAACTGTACCTCTCGGCGTCCTTGGTGTAGACGCCGCCGGTGAGACCGAGGTCGGAGTCGTTGACCAGCTCGATGGCCTCCTTCTCCGACGACACCTTCTGGATACCTGAGATCATTGTTGTTTTCAACAACTGAGCTACATACGACGCGCGACACGACACGACACGACCAACGACACGACCAACGACACGCCAACGGTCGATCGGTACCGATGATGGGTCCGAAGGACTCATCCTTCATGAGGGACATGGAGTGGTTGGCGTCGACGATCACGGTCGGCTCGAAGAAATAGCCCCTGTTTGTTTCATTTTGTCAACTCCCTCTGCGTATCAAGCAACGCAAGAAAAAGAGGAGCGGCTGGGTCAAGAGAGCAACGTACTTGGCGACGGAGGCGCGCTTGCCGCCGAGGAGCAGCTTGCCGCCCTTGGCCACGGCGTCCTTGACCTGCTCCTCGAGGAAGCTCAGCTGAAGAAGAAGAAGAAGAAGACACACGCGCGTCAGTTGAACACCGCACAAACGCACAGGCACACGCATGGGTTGGTGGGGGGGAGACCTGGGAGCCGCGGGTGAGGGGACCGAGGTAGGTGGCGCTGTCCATGGGGTCGCCCACCTTGAAGGACTTGACGGTCTTCACGTACTCCTCGACGAACTCGTCGTAGACCTCCTTCTGCACGTAGATGCGCTCCACCGAGCAGCACGACTGACCGGCGTTGAACATCGCACCGTCGGCCAGCGACGCCGCCGCATTCTGTCACACAACACGACACGCATACAACCCACGTTGGCGGTTGGCGGTTGTCGTATGTGCAACCGCGCGGGGCCGAACCTTGACGTTGGCATCCTCGCAAACGTAGGTGGCGTCCTTGCCGCCCAGCTCGAGGCCCACCTTGATCATGCGCGAAGCCACGGCCTCGTTGATCTGCACATGTTCGCGGTGGTGGTCAGCACATATCAATTATCGCGTGTCGTGTTGCGTCGTGTTGCGTGTTGTGTGTTGTGTGTTGCTTGGGTGTCGTGTCGTGTCGCTGCGTACCTTGCGGCCGGTGGCGACGGAGCCGGTGAAGAACACGCCGTTGACGGGGAGTCGCAGGAGCTCGGCGCCCACATCACCGGCGCCGTAGACGGGCGCGATCACCTCCTTCGGCACACCGGCCCTGCGATATCGCGCTCGCGTTAATAGCGCAATCAAAACAGCAAATAATATAATAATAATAAAAACGGGCGTGTGCGCACTTGTGGAGGAGCTCCATCTGGAACTCGCCGGTTCGCAGGGCAAACTCGGAGGGCTTGTACAGAATGGCGTTACCTGTCACACACGCACACACACAACACACACGCGCGCGCGCTGGGGCGTGAGTTGGCATTGCGTGAGTGCATGTGTCGTGAGGTGGGAGGAGCGTACCGGTGAGGAGCGCAGGCGCGTAGACGTTGCAGGACACGAACCAGGGGTAGTTCCACGGCGCAATGTTGGCGATCACACCCAGCGGCTCCCGGCTGATCTTCTCCACCAACTGCATATCCCCGCCCCGCCCCCCCAAATATTAGCACACCCACCACCGCACACGCGACATGACGCACGACACGACACGACACACGACGCAGGAGAGGGCAAGCGTACGGCGTCCTTCTGGTTGACGACCTCGTGCTGGAGGACGGAGTGGATGTTGTCGAGGAAGAACTGCACGCGGGCGCGGGTGGCCTTGACCTCGCCGGCGGCGTGCGAGATGGGCTTGCCCATGTCCTGCGTGAGCCTGCCAACACGTCACGCGCCACATTAATAGACGTGGCCGCATTCCCGGACAGGGGCGGGTGGACGCTCACCTGCGGGCGCCCTCCTGGACGTTGGCGTCGTCGTTGATCAGCTCGAGGAACTTCTTCAGCGTCGCGACGCGCTTCTCGAGGTTCTCGGGGCGACCCCACTCCTTCTGTGCCTGTTGTTGATGGTGGTCGGTGGATAGTTGTTAGCCGACAGCGATGGCTCTCAAGCCTGCACGACGTGTGCCGTGTGCCGTGTGCCGTGTGCGCTGTGTGGTGTGCGGTTCGTGTGTTACGTGCCTGAAGGGCGGCGTTGAACTTGGACTGGATGGACTCGCGGGTGTCGGCTTCGTGGGCAAAGGTCTCCTGCTGCTCAGTCGCCGGATTGACCATCACCAGCCTGGACTCAGCGCCGCGCGTGAGCCCCAACTCAGAAAGAAAAGTAAATCAACAAAAAACAAACAGGCCGGGGGGGTTGGTACTTGCGGGAGGCCGACGCAGCCGAGGCCGAGAAGTGGCGAACGGACAACGCGCCGGTGGGCAGCGACTGCACAACGAAAATCGATCGCGATTATAAATTTGAATTTATTGCCATTTGCCGGAAGGATTTTGGATCAAAAGAAAGAGTGAAGTGGTGGCGTACGCGAGCACGGAGAGAGGCGAGAGTGGTCTTCATCACTGCGGGCTGTGAGGAGATGATGAAGCGCAAAGCGAGAACGGCAGGAAAATGGCGGTTCCAGGTATTTTAGCCACGTGCGCGGAGATAGCGCTGGATTTCTTTTTCTTTTCTTTTTGTTCTTTACCAGAGGGTAGCAGTGCAACTCGGCCAAGTTGTGCAGACTAGGAGCCAATCGCAAGGAGGCCACGCAAGGCGTCCCTGGCCACGACCACGTCGTTCATGGCTTGGTCCCTGCAGTCATACATATGGATCCACCCCAAACACTGAATCAGCACCAACACAGCCACCAGCTACGATCATCTAGCTTGAGACTGGTACCAGTGCGTGTCGGCCAGCAGGGCTAGCACGGGCTGGAGGTCGGGCTGCCCGGAGGCACTGAACGTAGCGTGGAGCTGTTCCGCGACCTGCTGCCTCACCTGTGTACCATGTCGATGATGATGGTGATGTGCATCACGCTTGTGTTAGCGCGGTATGGAGCGAGGGCGACGGTAGGCGGAGACATACGCGAGGGTATTTGTGGGCGAGCAGGGTGGTGAGCAGCTTGAGTGACTCCGTTCGTGCTGGGTCGCCAAACGCGAGAATGCCGCACAATCTGTTGACCCTCGCCCGTCAGGCAAGAACGTGGGGGGAAGGAGTGATTGGGGGGGGGAGGACAAAGGCACGTACACTCGCGCGGCGCACACCAGCTTGGGGATGTCGTTAGTTTTGCTGACCTCTGCCCGGCACAGAATGACCATGTTCTTGCTCCACGAGAACCTGATTCGAATGAGAGATACATGATCAGTAAGGGCACACCCACACCCACACCCACACCCACACCCACACCCACACCCACACACAACACACAGACGACACCACACGTGCGGCGTTGAGTGAGTCACGCGCACCTAGGCGGTCGCAGGCAAGAGAAGACGCCGTCAGCCAGGATGGTGTGGAGCGTCTTCATCAGTGGCACGGTGATGCGGTCGGTGTAAAGGTGGCGCTTGAAGATCTGCACCAGCGACGACGAGATCTTGCGCAGGAGCGAGGCCTCAAAGCGCTGGGCCGCGTCCGCCTCCGGCTGCTGCCCGTCCGTGAGGCCCGCCTCCTCCGAATTCCTCACATCGCGCAGGAAGCACATCAGCGCGTCACCTGATCCAGGTACGTGAGATGTGTGTTGTGTGTGTGTGGTATGTGTGTGCGTGTTAGCCTGTGAACAACGTTGTCACGCAATCTGAGTGTAGAGGTCCGTACTCGCGTCATGCACGAGCGATTGGCTGCCGCTCGCGCTTGTCACCAGACCGGTTAGCACGTCGTCCCTGTACGCGTCGTAGCGGAGGAAGGGAACCAGCAGCGGGAAGGTGACCGAGGACACAGCCCAGTTCGCCACGCCGCCTCTGTCCGGCCACAACCGCGTCGCTCGTCAGAAGAGGGAAGAGTGCAGGAGGGTGAGGGGGGCATTAAGTACCGCGGGAACGCCTGCTTGAGCTGCTCGCGGTGCGGCACAAGGGGCATGCGGAGGCCCTCCTCCGCGGGGTAGAGAAGACGCTCGAGCGTATCTCCAGCGTGCGCGCGCAGGCGATCGATCTTCTCGGCCAGCTGCCGCAGCACCCGACTGAACAGGCCCTGTCGTGGTGGAAACCGGCGCATGAGTGACGAAGCTGGGTAAGATTGGTGCGTGTGTGCGTGCGTGCGTAATGGAAGGCGCCAGTTCACCTGGGACATCTCGGCGGTGATCAGCTGGGTGGTCGTGACGGCGGCCATGCGCAGCGCCCACTTCTCCGCGGCCTTCAGCGCCGCCTCGCGGACCCACGACCCGACGTCGCCCCGGTTGTCCACGCTGTAGTCGTCCAGCGCCGCCAGGAGCGCGTCGAACACCTCCTTCCCCTTGCGCACAATCTCTGCTCGTTCCATCCGACAATCAGTAACAACAATAAAATAAAACTACAATAAAAATAAAAGTACAGCGAAGGGTTGGCATTGGCGCGTACCGTCTTCGCTGAGGGAGTCCACCAGCTTGGCCAGAGCGTGCACCGCGTTGCGGCGCGACTCGGGATCCCGTTGCTCGGATACCGCTTCCACGGTCGACGCCTTGACGAGTGCGGCCACCACGCGGTCGACCCTGTAGTGCAGGCGCGAGAGATCAGATAGATATAGGCAATCGCCAGCGTTGAGCTGGAGGCTCACCTCTGCTGATTGAGCAAGAACGACGCGGGAAGATGGCCAAGAGTGAGCGCGTAGCCTCGGCGGACCGATGCGATCACCCCGGACAGATCGCCCAGAAGCACCGACGCGTAGGTGTCCACGAACTTATCCTTCCACTCGTCGCTCGTCTTGTAGGTATACACCTGGGCGTGTAACAAGATTTGTGCGTCAGCAAAATGCACACACACACACAGTGGAGGAGGGTACCTGGTGAAAAGCAGTAAAGGCGAGTGCAGCCGCTCGCTGTATGTCTTCGTTGGGGTGCTTGATGTGGTCGTTGAGCGACTCCGTGTAAATTAGCGCTCGTGACTTGACGGCGGCCCGTCTGTTCCGGATGTCCTGTATGCTCTGCCTGCCCGCTGGTTGTGGTGCCGCCTCGGCCTGCGTCGCCTCTGCGCATGAAAACACCGCCGCGACGTGTGTGGTGTGCGTGCGTGCATGCGTGCTTTTAGGACGGAGACATGGTTAGCAAAAACGAAGTTGAATTGGCGTACGTGTGTTGAGCGGTTGGGGCGGCAGTGGCAGACGGGACACGGAGATGGCACGGATGAGCTTGCAGACGGCGTGTCGGATCAGCTCTCCGCCCTTGCCTCGGTACAGCCGCGCCTTTTCGATGTCTGGCACGACGCTCACCACACTCTGCGGGTATTACCAGGGTGTGAGGATTCAGTTCAGGCAGGAAGAAAGAGGAGCAAGCGCGGGGGAATGATACCTCTGTGAGCTGCGTATTGGCGCTGTCGTCAAATATCTGGAGCTCGGCGAGGCCGAGAGTCACCTCGGCCACGCCCGTGAGGCTTCCATGCCGTTCGTTGAGGTTGGCGTCTTGCGTACCACCAACCTTGAACGCACGCGCACACGCATATTACGTTATGTGTGAGCCAATAGCCTTGGAGCTACCAAGAGGACCGCACGTACGAGATAGGGCAACACGGTCTGGGCAAAATAGAGCGGGTCGATCGGTACTAGCCCGCGCAGCGCCTTGGCTGCCAGCTTCCTCAGAGTCCGATCCCAGTGCGACACCTTGACCCGGAGCAAGTGGTCCACCATTGGTCGGAAATAGATCCCGTCCTGCCCAACAAAGTTCACTACTGGTGAGCTCTGTGCTGTGCTGTGTGTATGTGTGCGCGCGCGCGCGGTCAAAATACCTTGCCGGTAACCTTGGCCAATTCCACGCTGATGGTGACATAGGCGTTCTTCCGACTCGAGAGCGTGAAGTAGTCCGCCAGCTTGATGATGTCTATTCCAAAGGGAAAGCTCCCCTGCCGTCCCACGTTTTCCTGGAATGCAGCGCTCGCTGCCCTGCGGCAGTTCACTTCTCTGTGTTCGCAGTTCGTGGTCAGCACTGCGTCGATCGATCGAGCGGTTCTTCTCAGTCGGTGGTTCATCACGTACCGATCGAACAGAGCGGTGATGATGAGCGTAGGCGCGAGCTCCACCACGTGCGGTGCCATGACACTCGGCTCGTAGGCCCGGGCAAAGGCCCAGGCGACGTAGCAAGCGGCGTCCCGCACATGTGCACCAATGCTGTGCGAACCTTTTGTTTTTGGAATGTCAAGAATGAGTGCGGCCTTGGCGTCTCAGTTCGCCTAGATGGTAACGTACCTTTTTTCACGTCGTAGAGGAGTGCCTTGGTGACCAGCGGCACGATGTCCGCCAGCCGGTGGGTGAGCAGCAGACCCCTTCTGGCGAGCTCGCCAAAGGCCAAGCAACCACCATGCCACGCCTGTACGAACAGATGCGTTCACGCGTCAAGTCGCTGAATGCAAACTGCGAAGCAAGAACAAAGGAGAGAAAGAATGCGAAAGAAGAAGAAGGGGGGGGGGGAAGAGAGAAGAAAGTTGCTAGCGCAGGGTGTGTACCCCATCGCTTTCGGTGAAGGAGAAGAGGTCGATGACGCCCTGCACCACCTCGTCGCCCAGCTCCTTGGGCAGCCTCTCCGTGATGCGCCCGATGCCCTTGGCCGAGGACCAGCGCACGATCGTGTCCTTGTCTCTGAGACCGTCGAGGAGAAGCCCGATGATCTCCTCCATCTCCGGCGGGATGTCATAGTCCTCGTCCTCTTCGAGGTCAGCAGCACTCGCCGGGGCATTCGCCGGAGCCGATCCTGCATGGCATCGTCGATGATTAGGAGGAGATAGCGGTCTACACGTCCTTGAGACGGAGGCGAGCCAATGATCAAGCTGAACCTACCCGCGCCAGAGGGCTTGTCGCTGAGATTACTGAGGAGCGATCTGTTGCCTGCGAATATACAATAGATGGTGAAGGTCAATGACACACACTCACACTACAAGCAGCGCACATACCTCGCCTGTATCGCCAAATGGCGACTTTAGGTTTGAGAAACGCGAGTCCCAGGCGCTGCGTCAGTTTGATACAAAGCTGTGTGATGGGGGGCTGCATGTGAGTGCCACAGGTGTAGCAGAACACAGGCAGGGAGGAAGGGGGGGAGGGATTTCCAACCTTCCTCTGGATGAGAGTTCCTTCCATGAGCGTGGCGGAGTGCTGGAGCACCAGTGGAGTCAGCTCGAGAAGCACGTCGCGCTTGCCCCGCTTGAAGATGCCCGCCAGTGCCGTGAGCACTCCAGTACGCTGCAGCAGTATCAGGACCGGCGTTAGCAAAAAACAAAACAGTCGCGCTGGTCGTTCAATGAATGTAACGAACGTACGAGAAAGGTGTCGTCTGAGCTGGTGAGCACTTCGGTGGCCCAGGCGAGAAAGCGTTCCAGGTACTGTGACTGCAAATCGGGCCGCGTGAGCAGCCGGCTGAGCAGCTCGGCCGCAGCGTCACGGGTCTTGGCGGCGGCCTTCAGGTCCTTCTTCGCCTCTTCAACCAGGTCGTCGATGAGCGTGCGCGGCTCGCTCTGGCGTCGACGAGAGATGAGAGCGCAGATAAAGAGAGCACTGCATCAACTCTGGAGAAAGAGGGGGTACCGTGGAGCTGGACTGGCGACTGGGAAAGGAGGCGAGATTGAACGGAATGAGGCAGATGATGGAAAGCCATAGGAACAACACGTATCGACGCTCCCAACCAAGTTCGTCATCGCTCACACCCGCTGAGTCCCAGGAGTTTGTCGCCGCGTCGTCGAGCTGCCAGCGCGAGGTCATGAGCTGTGGATAGAGCGAAGAAGAGAGGAGGCGAGGTAGAGGGTACCGAGCTGTGTGAGACGATGTAGGAGAAGGTCGGCTCAAGGTCGATGATCTCGTGCGGAAAGAAGCGAACTGTTGACGAGCACACAAGGGAAGTGAGCACCAGGGATGCACGATGGCAGAAGAAGATGTGCGGCAGAGCAGCGCAGTCCAAGGACATACCGACGGTCTTGTAGCCGCGCACCTTGCAGAGGGTGTACAGGAGCCGGAAGATTGCCAGAACGAAGGCGTCCTCCTCTGGCTCGCTGCTACCCGCAACGCTGCGATCGCGGTGTGCACGTACTCGGCGCATGAGCGGCACGACCAGCCCTTCCATGTGCGGATCCAGCAGACTCGGCTGCTCTTGATACTTCTCCAGCTGTTGATTTAAACGAATAATCAGAGTTGATAAAGTAATCTTAAAAGACAGGATTGTGCCGCACGATTTCTTTGACTCGGGCAACGGCAGCCTTGGTGTCTTCTTGTGGCCCCTTGGCTACAAGATCAAGCACTAATCGCACCAACTCCTTGGCCTCAACCACAAATGATTGGAAGCGAGATTCCTCATCTTCTCCTTCAACAAGGGCTCTTCCAGAAGACGATTGATCGACCTGCACATCCCTCTCCATCTTGCCTGCGATTCCAACAGCGCAAAGCGCGGGAAACCGATTGTCCACAGAAATGCTGCACTTTCTGGTATTTCCTTTCTGGTCCCTCTTGCTTTGGCGATGAAAGGGTAGTCAGGGGTGGTAGTGTAGTTGGTCATCACACTCTCCTACAAACCGAGAAACCCGAGTTCGAATCTTGGCCACCCCCAACATCTGCATGTCGTCCTGCATTCTTTGCACGGCGATGGCTCTTCACCTTGGCGGTTCCTCAACGCGTTGAGGAGAGGGCCATCATCACCTCATGCCTGCTTCGTAAGAAGATTGAGCCTGCGCCAGTGTGCCGCAAGGAGCAACTCGGACAGAATGTTTGTGCGTCGAGCGAGGACGACAAGGAGCTGGGTATAACACTGGAACTCGTGGCGATGCTGGCCGCCAGGCGAGCCCACTACGGGCGCCTTTTGGTTGGCGTGCCCAGAGAAATGGGCCGACAGTACCGCCGCATGCAACTCACCCCCCTAACCGTCTGACACAAGCAAGCTTGGTGGGAGAACACTAGTGTCACGTCTGCGATAGAGTTTCAGAGATGAGCTTGGCCCAACAGTGGCAAAGCGCCAGCCTGGAAACAGTCACAGGGCGACAATGTTGGCGTTGGGATGCAGAGGAAAGGGGTTTAGCTGTCGAAGGAGTAACCACTGAACCACTCGGTCTTCGCGATGAGGTCCGCGATTTGCTTCTTCTCCTCGTCTCTCCACTCGAACTCGTGCCTGTTCGAGCCACAGCCAAATCAGACATACGCACACGCCACCACCACGATACAAGCATGAATGGCTAGCCGAGACGGACCTGCTCTTGTGTGGCTTCGCGTAGACGATGGACGCACAGGTCGCGATGAACTCATCTGTGTGGGGCACCTCCAGAAAATCGAAGAGACGCTTCAGCGTGCCCTGCGGGTCGGTAATCATGTCCTCATCTGATCTCAGATCGAACATGGGATACTCGCTCGCCCTCTGCTTGAGCGCTCCCACAGTCGCGGTCTGCGCCTCGAACCTGTGGTTGTCGTCATTGGCGATTACAGTGAGCAAACTATGCCTCTCCAAACCGCTGTGCAGCGCAGTCTGTCCGAGAGTCGCTGGATTGAGTGGATTACGCGTACCTCTGCATGAACTTGCGGAACCATTCAGAGTCCGATGAGGTGTCTCCCTTCCTCTTGGTGTGCGTCGCCATCGCGTCGAACGGATTGCGGATCACGTGGATCAGCTTGATGGGAACTACGTCAGGAAAGAAGAAACAAAATTAACAAGTAAGGTGAGCACGATGTGATCAAAACGCACGGTCGCACAGACACAGCCGCACGTCGTCGCACACACGCAAACGCACGACACGATGTACATGTGCAAAACACATGCGCTGCGGTTGGTGGTTCCGTACCTTTTACGAGGTCGCGCACCCGATTGAGCTCCTCAGGCTTCCTGGCGAGAATGGCAGCGGTGGTGCCTCCCTTCTTGTCACCGATGATCTCCAGCCGGTCGCGATAGGTGCCCTGCCACTGGCCCGGGACCGCGTAGCTGTGGGGTGGGCAGCCGCGCGTACACGGCCGTGTCAGTACATGTACTCGTGTGGCTCGAGAGAAATGAGTGGGTGGGTTTGTACTTGTAGTTGTTGTGCTGGCGGCCACCCTCGCGGAAGGCCATGGCCTTGGAGTCCTGGAACAGGTCGTTGTAGAGGCGCTCCCGGCCGTCGTCGCTCATGTAGCTCTCCAGCTTGCCCACCACGTCGTACTGCAGAGCAAACAGAACAAAGACAGAGTGAGTAGCACAAGACTGGGGCTGAGACTGAAGCTGATTGTGGAGAGGCCAAGGTGGGAGTAGCGGCATGCTGTACCTCATGGGCAATGATGATGTTGGGGTGCGCGTCCATGATGGAGCCAATGAGCGAGTGCCCGCTACGCGGATAGCCCACAAACAGGATGAAGGTCCGCACGCTGGAGAAGTCTGGCGTCTCCACCACAGAGTTTGTTGGGGCTGCGTTCGACTCCATCCTGTACGCCAAACGCAGGCAGAAGAGGATTAACCGTGAGATCTGCGCTGTAGTCGTCCATCAGGCATACAGGGAGGTTGTTGAAGAGCAAAGAACAACTGCGATGAAGGGGTGAGGGACGAACTTGTTGGGAAGCGTGCTGCAAAAGTCTCAACAAATCACAAGGCGAAGAGATCGCAAACGCAAGAGCAGAGAGCAGTGAAGAAATCAAGAGAAAATGATTATAATTTCTTTTTTTGGCCTCGTTGTCCTCCCCTCGGTAACGCAACACAACGCGCAAGCAAAGAAGAAGAGGAAGAGGATGTGCGACTACGACGTTGATCACGAGGTCAAGCTGGTGCAGTACCACATGAAGCGACTGGGCAAGGACGCCGGTAACGGCACCTGGACCATCACCTTCGGCGAGTTCTTCAACGACAAGGACGTCGAGCAGATCTTCGAATCGCTCGTCGGCTCGCTCAAGGCCGCCAAGAGGAGGGGCTGCATCGATTTCCCCGGCCAGCTCCTTCTGATGCCCACCCACAAGGACGTCGTGCTCACTCTCAAGGTCCCTCTCCCCGACGGCGAGATCCCCCACGACCCCAAGCCCGCCAAATAGAGCGATGTTTGAATCTCAATCGTGTAGCGACCATTTTCATTTGTACCACACATTAACGCTAAATGAAGTCCGCATTTGTAGTATTCCAGCCATTAAGTGTGATGCCAAGAGTGCCGAAATGAATGAATGATTGGCCTTACATACTCACTTTTCCGCGCCGAAGCTCAATTCAACAATCAAATCATCTTGCGTTGAAGGAGGCCAAGTACGCAAAAGGTAGGTCCACCCTCTTTTTTGGTTTACGCCCCTCATTTCCCGAGGGGCAACAGGCACCTCGCAACCCCCTCCAACAGCTCTGCTCACACACGAGGAGCCCCTTGCCACGCTCCACAAGACAGCACCTTACCAACCCAGGCCAGTTGGCATCTTTCGCTCGCACACTTTCTCTTTGCTGCGACCACCACAACCGATTCGAACCCTCGTTGACGAGCAACCCACCACTTTGCCCCCCCCCCCCATTCAACCCAAGAAGAGGAGGTCTGAGGGTCGCACACACCAGTGCGTTCCTCTGCGAAGGACGTCATGGAACGGACCAAAGATTCCGATGCTGGCGAACTGATGTTGGAGAGCATCCTCTGCAAGCTGGGCAGAAAAGTGAATACAACCCCCCCCCCCCCGGTAGCTCACGCACGCAGACTCACGCCATGCAACTGACGCGCGCGTGCGAATGGTTTGCTTTCTCTCTCTCTCTAGAAATGGGCGGGCCTGGCCATCCAAGCACCACGAAGCCACGTGATGCCGATAGACGGCGTGGCCATGGACCTGGTGGTGTGCCTTGACCGCAGCAAGTCAATGGGCCGCTACTGGCCCATCGTCATCGTACGCCCCTCCTTTCGCATGTGTGCGTGTGCGATGGTGCGTGCGCGTGTCGTGTGTGCGCACGCACCATCGCACGTGGACCATCAAATGCCTCCATCCAACGCTCAATGGCCGGTAACCACCACAGGAAACGCTCAACAAGGGCGTCACGAAGCTCACAGCGCGAGATCGGCTGGGCATTCGCACCTTTGCCGGACAGCGGCACTCCCAGTCGGTCCTGGAACTGACCGAGATGAGCAAGGAGGGCCAGGTGACTGCGTCGTCCCCCCACCCCACCCCCACACGCAACACACACACACGAACGCACGCGCACAAACGAAAGTAACTTTCTTTCTGAAACCATCGGCCATAGGACAAAGCGCTGGAGGCGATCAGGAGCATCCCCAAGCCGTCCTCGGGCCACACCAACCTGGGCGCGGCGCTGGAGGAGGGCCTCGACGAGCTGCTGCAGAACCTGACCACCGACCCCAACCAGCCCGAGTACGTTCCCGCCCCACACGGAGAGAGCCTCTTTTCCAGTTTCCCCCTCAACCTACGGCTGCTGATGTCTACAACTTGTCGACGCATCGTGCTTGCCTTGCGACTTCAGGCGAGCCGTGCGCCTTCTCCTGTACACGGACGGCAAGCCCACGGTCGGCATTAGGCGGTGCGTAGCCCACCACCACTACCTGGGCCAGATCCAGATGGTCAGGGTGGTGCCTCACACGTTCGTGAATGCGCTCAGGTTGGCCGAGCTGTTGGAAGTGCGGGAGCAGAAGATGACCAAGCTCGGACCCAGCGCCAAAGTCGCCGTGTTTGCCTACGGCGAGAACCACGACGTCAAAGTGCTCAAGTACGACCAGCCTTTGGCTCAATTTTTCCATTGCCAATGGAAATTGGGATTGACCAAATGCTTGACTGTGTTTACAGGTCCATCTGCAACAACTACTCGTCGCTCTACTTCGCTGTGACCGATCAGAGTACGTGTGAATAGAAATACGATTGGCTTGGTGTCGGTACGGTGGCAGTACTAAGTAGTACCACGCGCTTGAACAGACATCGTGTTGTGCTTGGGCGAGTTCTACGGCGGCACGCGCACGACGTTCTTCCGCGACCTCGTCCTCAGTGTGCGGGTACGTACAACATACGCCACCCGATACGGACGCGGCATACCGCACACAACGACACACACGACACACGACACGACACACTCACTTTGTTGGTCGTGCCACCACCGTAGGGTCCACGCGACTGCGAGGTACGCACGACCTTCCACTGCAAGAGCCTCAGCTTGCCGCAAGCCGACGTGCGCAAGTGGGAGATACACATTCCCGACATGCAGTCCAGTGAGGTGCGCACCACGTTGCACCATATCACACAACTCTCGTGTGCGTGTGTGCGTGTGTGCGTGTGTGCGTGTGGCGTGTGGCGTGAAGACGCGTGCGTAGTCTAACGCAGCGCCGCTACAGAGAAGGAACGTGATCATCAAGATCCCCGAAAGCGTGCGAGGCGGCGAGGTGCACTTTGGTCTGCAGTACTACAGCATCGTGACCAAGAGCGTGGTGACCCTATCGCGCACCCTGGACATCGTGCGCGACGTCTCGTTCGACGTACGTCCCCTCGCTCTCTCGCTGGCTCCAGTCGTTCGTCAAACGCATTTTTTAAACACTGTTTTGTTTTATTACAATATCATTAATGATTTCTTTCCCACGCGCAGGACGGGACCAAGATCACCATGGATGAACAGAGAAACCGGATGAGTTCCATCAACGTCTTGCGACAGGCCATTGCAAGCGCGGCGGTGCACGATTGGGAGGAGGCCCAGACCCTGGTCGCCAAGCAGAGGCGGCGGATCGACCACTCCATTGCCAGGAATGCACCGCTCACACGACAGTACGCCAACCACGACACGCAACACGCACGGCACGACACGACACGCGGCTGAATTTGATGGTGTCGCAGGATGAGCAGACAGCTGGAGCACTACCGCGAGACGTTCCGACGCCGGGGTAGGCAGCAGGCCGCTTCCGGCTACACACCGCCGGTGCGCATCGGCTTCCGGGAAGAGGCCGAGATGTCCGCCTTTTGTACGCCTCCCCCCCCCATAAATTAATTCACCATGCAACCGCTGCAGACGACAGCTGAGCGATGATGACGTGGCATTCATGATAATTACACGACACAGGCCAATCGCTGGAGGCCGAGCGGTCGTCGTCGGCCGGCATCGAGCAGTTCCAGACCCTCGAGAAGCGCGCCCAGACCGAGATCCTCATGGGCGAGCTCGAACCCACCCTCACCCTGCGGCGCAACGAGACCGCCCGCCGCCGCGCCATCGCCCGCGGAAAGTACGTCATCGTCGACTCACCACCACCACGCCCAGCGTTGGTTGATAAATTGATTGACTGCTTGCTTGATTTGCAGGCGGCTGCAGACGGCCAACCGCGACCTTCAGGAGTCCGAGAGAGAGGGCGACAGTGTGCTGTTGCGCACGCTCGACGGCGATCAGAGTGCGCAGGCGCCGCACCCGACGGGCTACGTGGTCAACACGATGGTCATCCAGCGCCGCGAGGAGCTGGCCCGGCGCAAGGGCGAGGACAAGGTCGGCAACGGCAACCGCGGTGCTGAGGTCAGGCCCGGCGGCGGCTTGAACGCGTCCCCTGCGCCGCAGCTTCGGCGATCGCTCAGTAGCGGCCGGAGGGCGGCGACGACCGACAGCTTCGCCGACGAGCTGTTGTCGTCGCTGACCCACGTGCCCTCGGCGCCGCCGTTCGACTCCTCCATTGCCCTCGCTGCGCCGTCGTTCTCGGCGCACTCGCCCAACGCCGGCCGCCAGCTCCTGATGTCGTCGACGCCGGCCCTGTACCGACGTCATGCGGGCGACGAGGCCGCCCCGCCGTCGGCGCCGCCGCCCACGCCCTACACAACGCCCACGGCCGACGAGTTGGAGGTCCTCCTGCCCAACAACGCCGACGGCGGCGGCGTAGGTGGCAGTCCCTCGCGCATTCCTCAGATGCTTCGTGCGGTGTCGGTCCGCGAGCTGTTCGAGCGCCAGAGGCAGGAGCAGCAAGCCAAGGAGACCGCGCGGAATGCGAAGCGCAACGTGGTCGATCAGGCCTTCACCCTCCTTGCCCCCAGCGCCCCACCCGACGCCCCCGTCGTGAGCGACCGCCGACCAACCGAGCCCAGGGCGCCGCCGCCGACCGAGCGGTCGCCCGCCTATCCGCCGCTTACGCCGCCGCGCCGCGAGACCACCGGCGGCTCGTCGCCCGACCCGCGCACCACCACCCGGCAGCCGCCCCAGCTGCAGCGGCGCATGTCGTCGTCGGACCACCTGCAGCGGATCGTGGACCACTTGTCGCCGGCGCGACCGGCAGTCGTCCAGCGCGTCGAGCCGCTGCCGGTCACGCCCAACCTCACCCCCACGCCCACTCCGGGCCACACGCCCGAGTCGGCGACCGGGCAGCCCCTATGGCCGGCCGACCTGACCGACTTCCTCCAGCGCACCGCGGCCGCGGTGGCTGCTGACGTCAGCAGCGGTAGCAGCGCCACGCCCGGCGGCGGCGAGGCGATGAGACGAAGCGGAAGCGACGGGTTCAGGAAGCGGCTCCAGGAGCTGCGCCAGCAGCGCCGCCAGCGACAGGTGACCCGGCACCTGAGTATCGACAGCCTGTGCCGCGAGTCTGTAATGCCGCTCGACGACGTAGATCCCAATGACAGCGTCGGTCGTCATAATGCCCGCGTATACAACAACAACAAGGACGATGACGATTACAACGATCGCCGTGACCGTGGCCGCCACAGCGATGATGATGACGACTTGTACTCGAGCGACGAGCCCGGCGCCCACGACACGAACTGGTCGTGGAGAGGGTCACCCGACGACGACGACGACGACGATGACGACGATGACGACTACGATGACGACGAGGAGGTGGAAGAAGAGGAGGAGCGCACGATGACCGCGGATGTGAGCGACGACGATGAAGGTCGGAAGCCAAGGCTGCTCAGCCCGCGCGACATCGGCGCGCAGAAGCTGCAGGCCCTCAAGCAGTTGGGCGCCGACCCGCAGTTCAAGCTGCCCACCGCCAAGCAGCCGCCGCCCCAGCAGCAGCAGCGGCCGCAGCGCCAGGCCGCCATGCCGCCGCCGCCCTCGCTCCGGCCCGCAGGCAGCCTCGGCCCCGTAGTGCCGCTGTCCGAGCTCGTCGCCCCGCTCCCCCCGCCCGTGCCGCCCAAGGGCCAGCGGCCGGTGGCCGACGCGTCGGCGTCGCTGGTTTCGGAGCTGCAGTCGGCGTCGACGGAGGGCGGCCTAGATGCATCGTCGTCGCTGCGGCTGTCGGCGGCGGACGCGGACGCGCTGTCGGCGGCGGTGGCCTTCGTAGTGCAGCGCCGCGGGGCGCCGACGACACCGGCCAACGCGGGCATGGAGGCCTCTGCCGCCGCGACGGCCCTGCAGCAGGCGAGTGTCTCGGTGCCGTCGTCGACATCGTCGACGCCCTATCACACCCGCACGTCGCTCCCCTTCTCGCTGGGCTCGCTGTCGGCCTATCTCCAGCCCGACGGTGAGGAGTTGGTCACCGACACCGGCGTGCCAACGCCCAATCGACAGCGCAGCGGCGACGGCGGTGATATGGACATGGACGTCAAGGCCCAGCAGCCCGAAGAGGAGCAGCTTACCCCCTCGCGCCGCAGCTCGCTCAACTCTTCGGCCAGCACCGCCACCACCGGCGTCGTCGCCAACAGCAGCTCCGACGTCCGCGTGCGCACACCATCGTCAACATCGTCGCCGCAGGTGTCGCACGCGCGCTCGTCGGGCGGCGACCTACGACAGCTCATCGTTCACATCGACGAGGCCGAGGGTAGTGGCGGCGGCTCGCGCGTGTCGTCGCCCGCGTCGATGCGCGGGCGGCGAGACACGGTGGTGCTGATCACCCTGCGCTCGGCGGCGACCACGCTGGGCGAGCTCGAGGCCAAGATCCGGGCCAAGTTCCCCGGCCGCGGGGAGGTGGTGGGGGTGGGCGTGTGGATGGGGGGCACCTCGGCCGACCTGGCGTCGAGCAGCAACAACAACCTTGCGAACAGCGGGTGGCTGATACCGATCGGGACGGACGACGATGTCGAAGAGCTCATCCACGGCAACGTGCTACGCGCTCGGTTCGCGCACTGAGTAGAGCTTGAAAGGTTGTGGTTGTTCCTCGACAGGAACATTGGTGGCGTGTAGAAAGGAAGAAGATGTGGTGGTGTGGTTCTGTCTATTGTCAAGGTAAATGAGAGAGAGTTGAACATTGAGATGCCTCGAACAAGGGAATGCTTGCCACCTCGCCGTGTGGGAAAGAAAACAATAAATAAATAAAAGAAAACAGCAAACTATTCGAAATCTGGGTCTGGCCAACATCGAAAGAAAAGATGGCGAGTGTGACGAAACCTACCATCACGTACTTCCCCATCGCTGGACGGGCCGAGGTGTCGCGCCTCATCCTCGAAGATGCGGGCGTCGACTACGACTTTGTCGCGGTGCCCTACCCCCAGTGGGCCGATCTCAAGGCCAAACTCAGCGCCGCTGGTGCCCCTCCACCCTTGGCCTCCTCCCCTATTTTATTCGTACATCTATGTTCGAAAATATTAAGAGGGCGGTGCGTGTCGTGTCGTGTCGCGTGTGCGGCAGGCAAGTTGCCTTTCGGTCAGCTACCGCTGTATGAGGACCCGTCGGGCCTGGTGCTGGTCCAGAGCAACACCATCGCGCGCCACCTGGCCAAGAAGCACGGCTACCTGGGCGCCAGCGACGACGAGGCGGCGCTGGTGGACCAGATGTTCGAGGGCGTGGTCGACATGCTGAACCTCATCGCCAAGGTCTTCTGGTACACCCCGGCCGACCAGGTGGCCGACGAGAAGCAGAAGCTGCTCACCGAATCGCTCCCCGTCCAACTCAACCTCTTCATCAAGCTGCTCGAGAAGAACGGCAACACCGGCTTCCTCGTCGGTGACAAGGTCTCTCTCTCTCTCTCTCTTCGTGTTCGCACAACTAACGCACCGCACACGCACACGACGCACGACACGACACGACACGCAGTTGAGCTTGGCGGATTTGGGACTGTGGGTGGCGCTGCAGCTGGTGTTCATCAAGGCGCCCGAGAGCCGCGACAGCCTGACCGAGGCCTTCCCGCCGGTGGCCGCCTTCCTCGACAACATCGCCCAGAGGCCGCGCATCCTGGCCTACCTCACCCGCGAAGTCTACCACTGAGCGGCTGCCCACATACACAACTTATATCTTTTTTTAAATATCATTTTCTAAATACGAATATGTCGAGGAATATGTGGTCGGGCGGGTCGCGCGGACCATCGGTAGCATGTTAACGCTACGCCAGCCAATCTTCCGCGGTTATGTCAATAAAACTGTGATTTATAATCATTACTATTTTGTGCAAGTCACTCTTGTGAGTGATCCCTTTTCCTCGTCTTACATAGTCGGCAGAGGCCGCTGCAAGAGAATCCGAGAACGAGAAAGACATCTATCTCTCGTGCCTCTCGTGAGATATTTCGTTCATCTTTCCTCCAGGAGGAAACACATCGAAGTAAGCCCCCCCCTTGCAGTTTCCTTTATATAACTATAATCAGACATAAAATGATTTTATAATTTGATGTGTGTTCCGATGGAGGAAAGTGCAGGTCAGGCACTTTCATTCATCTTTTGTTATTAATAATAATAAGAATAATAATAAATCTCACACGAAACCGCGCTTCTGTACAGTGGGGCAAGAGGATGGCGGGCTGCGCGCGACGCTCCTGAAGACGGCCGGCACGGTGGGATGTCTGGCGGGCATCGTTGCCACCTGGGTCGCCATGGCCGAGATCCTCCAGAGCGTACAAGAGAAGGGCGGCAACTCCTACAACAAGGTACCGCCCATGTCATCGTGTGCGCCGCGTGTCGTGTGCCGTGTGTGTGTGTGCTGTGTGTGGTGTGTGTGTGCGCGCGCGCGCGATCTGTGTGCCGTGTGTGCTGTGATAGCTGACAGTGCGATGCTGCAGCCGTACTTCATGTCGTTCCTGGTGCACAGCGCCTACGCGGTGTTCTTCGTGCTGTGGGTGGTCGTGCAGGTGTTGAAGGGCCTCCTCGGCTGCCGACGCCGACGGGCCTCGGTCCACTACGACCTCGTCCTTAGCGACGACTCGTCCGCGAGCGGCGACCACTACCAGTCCCCGCCGCGTCAGCGGCAGCGCACCACATCGATCACCTCGCAGGGACTCGACCACCGCGCCGCCAGCCTGCGGCCCAAGCGCCAGCGATCTGCCGCGGCTGTCGATCGAAATGAAGGCGGCAGCGACTGGTGGCCGCAGCTCAAGGCCAACTGGCTGCCGACGCTGGTCTACTCGGTGCTGGTCTACGTGGTGGTCTACACGTGGTACCTGTCGCTGTCGCGCACGTTCGTGTCGGTCAACACGGCCATCTACAACTCGTCGTGCGTGTTCGTCTTCGTCTTCTCGGTGGCGGTGCTCAAGGAGAAGGTGTCGCTGCTCAAGATCGTCGCCGTCGTGTGCTGCCTCGGCGGGGTGGTGATGCTCTGCGTCGACGGCCTGTCCAGCGACGACAAGAGCACGAAGAAGAAGGGCGGCGGCGACGATGCGAAGAACGACGTGTGGGGCTACGTGCTGGTCATCGTCAGCACCATGCTCTACTCGCTCTACGAGGTCCTCTTCAAGCGCTGGGGCTCGTACAAGGAGACCCAGCCGACGTTGGTCGTCGCCGAGCGCTCCTCGATCAACTACGACGAGCACGATCGCGACAACTATCACGACCACGACCACGACGACCAGCACTACCACGAGGAGGAGGAGGAAGCGGGAGCTTCTGGGAAAAGCAGCGGCAGGGAGCAGATGTGGAAGCGGCTCAAGGTGGTCGAGCACACGATGCTCTTCATCGGCCTGCTGGGCGTGTGGACGATCCTCCTGGCCTGGCCGGGCATCATCATCGTCGACAAGACCGGCATCGAGTCCTTCGAACTGCCCCACGGGTACGCCACGCGCGTTGCTCCGCTTCAAAGCCACCTGCTCACACCGCACACCGCACACACACACATGACACGTGAACACATTACACGCAACACACAGAAAATCGCTGCAGGGAATTCTGATCACGATGGGCCTCGACGCGCTGTTCAACTGCCTGCTCATCCTGGGCATCGTGATCTCGTCGCCGCTTTTCATATCGGTCGGCAGTCTGCTGACCATCCCGGCGTCGGTCGTGAGCGACTGGCTGCTCCACGGCACCGTGCTGCCGATCCTCTCCTACATGGGCATGCTGGCCATCGTCGTTGGCTTCCTCCTGCTCACCCTCTCCGAGTTACTACACTTCAAGTTCCGCAAGCACGACCACGACAAGAACAAGGGAGCCTGCGACCACCTCGTCCCCTCGCTCTACTGATGAGACCAAGGAAGAGAAGGGGAGAAGGGACAGATTGATCGCTACGCCATTTGTTCAATCTCTGTTCCCGCCAAAAAATAATATTATTTTAATGATTAATTCGCCACCTTAACAGAGTGTATGTCGACGAGAAAGAAAAGTGGCTTTCTCTGGTATTTGTTGGGCTGCATCGTGCATCCCTTTTTTCCTTCTTCTCTCCTTTCCTTCCCTATCCATCGCAGCACGATGCCCAAGTTGTACGTAGCCCCTGCCAGTCTGGTCGGCCGTGGTAGTGGGGGCGATGGGGGTTAATCTAGGCGTCCGGATGTGACATTCGTTTGTAGATTGCATCCAATTTATGCCGCTGGATGCATCTGTTATTAATCGATTGATGTTATCGTGGTATATTGCAGCCTCAAGCCCGGTAAGGTCGTGATCGTCCTCAACGGCAGGTATGCCGGCAGGAAGGCTGTCATCGTCGAGAACCGCGACGACGGTACCAAGGCTCGCCCCTATGGTTACGCCGTCGTTGCTGGCGTCGACAAGTACCCCAAGAAGATCACCAAGTCGATGGGCAAGAAGAAGATCGCCAAGAAGACCAAGATCGCCCCCTTCGTGAAGGCCATCAACTACAACCACCTGATGCCCACCAGGTACGACCTTGTCCTTGGACTGTATACCGGTGGTAATTACGTTGGGGACCGAATTACTCACAAGAGGATCGCTCTTCACAGGTACGGTCTCGATGTTGAGCTCAGGAGCATTGTCTGCAAGGAGAACGCTCTCGAGAAGGGTCAGAACAAGTACAAGACCAAGCAGGCCCTCAAGAAGGTGTTCCAGACCAGGTACCATACTCCCGCCTTCCTTTCTTTCACTCTTCTCTCCCACTTCTCTTAGGATGACATCTTCACACTTTCCTGAATCACAATTTGTAGATTTTAGACATTTGCACGTCAGTCTGAATCCACTTTCATTCTCTTCTCACCTCTCCTGTCTTGCATCTCCGCTCACATATCCTTCCCCCCACAGATACAACTCCGGCAAGAACAAGTGGTTCTTCACCAAGCTCAGGTTCTAAGTTGTTCTAGTGCAGATTTTGGCGGTAGAAGCTGGCGATGAATAAATAAACACAAAACAACTCCTTCGCGTCTCCTTGCGTTTTCGTGAGCCACAAGAAGCCCTGTTAGGACGTGAAAAGCAGTACCTCGACAAGACTGACCATGCCTCAAGTTTGATCGTGTCGCATAACTGCTCTCTGCGCCGTCCTTTCGTGATGCTCAGGGCGCTACCCCGTCTCGCTTGCCGCATCATCTTCTACGCTGACGTCTTCCGCTGCTACCCCAACTCGGTACAAATGCCATAACGCCTCTTCAGTACTGAAGAGGACAGCTACAGTTTTAACTCAAGCACTACGTCTGACCACGACAGGATTCTCTGCGCGGGTGGGTTTTTTGTGAAGGGGGATTGTCGTTTGGGTTGTAGAGGAGGGAAGGGGTCGACCGTTTGAAGAACTTCGCGGTGCGTGCAGTGCGAAGCCGATCGGCGACCAGAGGCTGCCCACAGCAAGCTGCGGGCATGAGTGCCAACTGATCCCCCACGAGAAATAAGTTTAATCTTGATGTGAAGCAGGAACGCTTCACTACCAGAGATTAAGCTGATAAGAACAGATACTACACTTGATCTTAGCCAAAAGGCCGAGAAGATACTTTCCCTGTTGGCCTCTCGCCGCTCTTGACCCCGCCCAGCGATTTTGCGCTTGTGGGTTGCCAAACTACACCGCTGGCCATGGCTCAGATAGCAATGATTGGTGAAGCTCGTCACGTTGCTGTGACGTATGGATATGATCCGGCAATCAAGGCCGGTAAACAACAAGCTCTCGAGGTCTCCTTTCAGGGTACACACGACTCGCCCGTGGTAGAGGGGTTGCAAGAGAGCATCATCGTGAGCTTCGTCGAGACACAGAGCTTGAGTGCATTTTAGTTCCGAAAGAAAATGCACTTGGCGCGCGACAAGTCTTGGTGAGGCAAGGAAGAGGACCAGAGGAAGATGGACGTCGAGTCTGGGCGGCTGGCCCACCGGCACCCACACCACGGCAGGCCACCATACGCGCACTTCGCCAAAGACTCACCGGCAGTGAGGAAGCATCCTCATCCATCTTTCGCTCAGCACCGCGGACGCAGCTGCTTCAACAGACGAACAGCGAATGAGTGTTACAGCTTACTCTCGCTCGATGACAAGTGCCTTGTCACAGCCTACGTTCTGGTCGTCCTGCTCTGCTGTCTCTTCTTTGCTCTGATCGGGGTGGCCATCTATGCCACTGCGCTCTTCCTCGCCCTTCCTGATTACGCCGACTTCACCACGGAGCCAGATTCCTCTTCATCATCTTCATTCGATCCGAGCCTTCGCCTGCCACGATTAGGCGGTAAGGGCTTCTTCATCGTTGGCGCGCCACCACACTCTTCTCTCTTCATCGACGATTCAGATGGATCAGTGCACATCTTCCACGGCATCTCCTACGTGCTGCGCAAATGGTCCACCGACGCATCGACGGACCTGGCCACGTCGCGATCGCGTGGTGGATCATCATCAAGTAGCGCCATTAATCGCGATTCCCCAAAATGGCGCCAAGCGCCCACTACACAAGATGAAGAGATCGAGCGACACATGCAGGCTATCGCCGGGCTGGGCCTCAACCTGGTGCGGCTGGGAGTGCAGTGGGCCGACTACGAGCCCAAGCGCGGCCACTACGACCCGTCCTATGTGCGTCTCGTGCGCCACGCCGTGGATGCCGCTGCTCGACAGGGTCTGCGCGTCCTCATCTACTCTCACCAGGTTCGTAACCGTGCCCCCCCCCCGTGTGCGTGTGCGTGTGCGTGTGCGTGTGCGGTTCTATGATTTCGTGTGCGTGTGCGTGTGCGTGTGCGATGCACAGCCAAAGTGTGGTGGCTGGCTGAACAGTGGTTGATCGCTGCAGGTCATGCTGTCAGCCAAGCTGTGCGGGGAGGGGTTCCCCGACTGGGCCGGTACATCCCCGCCTTGGGTGCGACCTTGGGTCGTCTCATACCCCTCACCTCCGCCTTCGCGCAGTGTTGCCGTCCGTGTCGGGTGACAACGTGCGCAGCATGGGCAAGACCTTCGACGTACCGCCTCCCAACCCATCTGTACACAATGTTGCGTGCGTGCCGCTCCGTACTCATCTTCAAGCGCTTCACTCTGATCGGCCAGGACTTCTTGGATCGAATCGATCGGCTGAGATCCGGCCTTTACAATGATCACGATGGCGATGGCGAAGACGATGACGAAGTCGAGGCGTGGGACTGGATTCATGGGGTCGACGACCAGGGCCAAGATCACCCACAGTCGGATCAGCAGGAGGACATCGGAATGGAGCTTCCCGAGTACTGTCCGGCTTGGCTCGCCCCTTCCTACTACTTCACCCCACAAGTGGCCTCGGTACCGTGTGTTGTGTCGCATGTCGTGCGTGTCGTGTCGCGTGTGCGTGTGTGTGCGTGTGCCGCTGACATTTGGATTGTCAACGCCCAGGCGTACCAGAACTTCTACTTGGGGCAGCAGGGCACGATGCACCGCTTTGGTGCCTGGTGGGCCGACGTGGCGCGCCGCTTCAGCGACGACCCGGCGGTGATCGGGTATCAGCTCCTGTCGCAGGCCTTCGCGGGTGACTACTACCACTCGCCCGCGCTGCTCCACCCGGGCGAGAACGACGCGCGCAACCTCGCCGCCGTCTACGCGTTCCTCTCGATGCAGATCCGGCGCGTCGACACCGACCACCTCATCTTCTTCTCCGACACCTACGCCGTGCCGCTCTCGCGCTCCATGTCGCCCACATCGTCGTCATCGTTGTCGGCGTCGACACCGTCGGCCGGCGCCGCGTACTCATCAACGGCCAGCCGGGACTCGCTGGTCACGCACGCCGGCGTGGGCTTCACGCGACTACCCAGCGCGACCTTTGGCCGCGGCGGCCGTATGCAGCGCGAGTGGTGGGCGGAGGGCGACGGCGACGGCGACTGCGAACACAACGACGACGACTGCGATGACGATGACGGCGCGGGGCGGAAGCAGGCCGGCAAGGAGGTGCTGGCCTTCTCCTACGAGTGCTGGTACTTTGACCAGACAGACCCGTTTCCCGTGCCGGCCTACCAAGAGACCTGCAACCTATTCAAGGGCGAAGGTACGTACCCCAGTCTTGTGCGTGTGCGGTCGTGTGTGTGTGTGGGGTCGTGCGTGTGACGAGGCTCGCGTTGGCTGACCGATTGCAGACCTGTTGGGCTACAGGAAGCGGGACGCGCGGCGGCTGGGCAGCGGCCTGTTCGTCCACGGGCTGGGCGGCTGCGGCTCGTCGCGCGAGGAGCGCAGCTGCGAGTACCTCGTCGAGGAGGCCAACGCGGGCTCGCTGTCGTGGAGCTACGGCCTCGATCAAGACCACGACGAGGTGCGACGCGTGCTCGACGCCGCCGCCGGAGGCGAGACGCAGCTGCGACGACTGCTGAGCCGGCCTTTCGCACGCAAGCTGGCCGGCGTGCCCCGATCGTCGACCTTCGACCCCAAAACGCGCCACTTCACCCTCGCCTTCTACCCTTACGCCCGTAGGAGCTCCTTCTGTGCCGTGAGTAGTGTTGTTGCGCGTGCTGTGCTGTGCTGTGTGCGGCGAGTGTCGTGTCGTGTCGTGTGCACACAAACTGATGGGGCGGTGGTGTTCAGAAGAGCGAGGTGGGAAAAAGGCGAGTGGTGTGACAGAGATCTACCTTGACGAGGAGCTGCACTACCCGCAGGGGTACACGGTAAGCGTGTTCCCCCTGCTCCTCGAACACGCGGCAGTGCCGGAGAAGAACATCCTGCGCCTATCGCTCCGAGCCGAGTTCGGTCAGGGCAGGTTCGAACCGGGCGAGGTTGTGGTGACCATCGCCCCCAAAAAGTGAACTACGACCTGGCCCCAAATGAAACTGACCTCGCATCAAGCACGAAAGCACACGACACCCGCAACACGACACGCACGGTGTCGACACAAAACACGAGCGGCGAAAAAAAGCAGTCCCATAATAGGAGGGAGGCACGCGGAGGGCAGGGCTCAAAAGGGGGCGGCGGGGCACAGTGCAGGTTGGACCTCCCGAAAGGGAGGCTCCATCTGTTAAAATTGGAACGATACAGAGAAGATTAGCATGGCCCCTGCGCAAGGATGACACGCAAAATCGAGAAGATACCCAACTTTTTTTGATACCCCTCCAAGCCAGAGGCTGGAAAATCCGCCACACAGGGGTAGCCAGCAAATAGTCCCTAAGCCCAGTGTATTGTGGATTTTAAGCCTTTGTAAAATTATCTTTGGTGAAGATGAGTGGCTTTATTGAGGAAATTGGCACTTGCAGCCCATCACATGGCAGTGCTAGCCTAATGTGAGCAGCTGGCAGGAGCCAAGAATTGATTTGCAGTGTGGAGAGAGGGGGAAGTTGTGGATGAGATTTGAAGCATTCTTTACCACATCAAGTGCATGGGCAGTTTTGGGCTGGGTGAGGAAAGTGAACTCTGAATTGCACCAGTAATTGCACCAGTGACATGAGTGTGGCTTGCCCATGCTTGACAATTGCCACACATGTTCACTTTCTGCTTGAAAACCTCCCCTTGGCTGCAGTTGGAAAGAAAAGGAATGAAATCATGTGAATCTGCTTCTGCCTGGTGCTTCCTTGATGAATTTTCTGTGGTGGTTACCTAACTCTGGTCACTAGCCCACCAGACAGCACACAGAAATCACTGCATCAGGTGGGCAGGTGGTACTGCAATGATATTCAGTGAACTAAGGCAAAATTGAGGGGGAAGATTAAGATCTATTTTCTGCTGAAGAGTTAGCTGGCCTCTGGCTTGGAGGGGTATCAAAAAAAGTTGGGTATCTTCTCGATTTTGCGTGTCATCCTTGCGCAGGGGCCATGCTAATCTTCTCTGTATCGTTCCAATTTTAACAGATGGAGCCTCCCTTTCGGGAGGTCCAACCTGCACTGTGCCCCGCCGCCCCCTTTTGAGCCCTGCCCTCCGCGTGCCTCCCTCCTATTATGGGACTGCTTTTTTTCGCCGCTCGTGTTTTGTGTCGACACCACGCGTGTCGTGTGCTGTCGTGTCGTGCGCTCATGCCGTGTGCTGTCGTGTTGTGCCAGACGCGCTGTGATACACATGTGTGCTTGTGTAGTGAATAAACTGAAACCAACCACTGTTCATGTTCCAATCGCCAGCACAGACGACAGACGGCTAGAAGAAACGAGCATAGCTGAGGGAGACCTTGCCCACGTTCTGGCGCAGCACATTGCGCAGGGTGCGCATGAACGGGTCCACATTGCACGCCACCGGCTGCCTCTTGTCCTCATCGCCCTCCTGCGGATACTGTGATGGTTCGCGCGCTCGGTCGTGAGTACCATCAAAAAAGCTGTACCGCGTTTGGTGGTAGTGGTGCACAAAAGTTATGGTGTGAGGGTGGTGTTACCTTGGGCTCGTAGGTCGAGACAAAGTAGTGGTTAGGCGAAGGCGGCGAGTGGTGCAGGAAGTCCCACACGGCGAGCAGGATGGTCGTGATCTCCTCCGGCGTGATCTCGCCCATGATCTCCCCGCAGTAGCACAGCGGAGCCGGCACCTGGTGCGACCACCATCACCACCATCGTCAATAACAACAACAATCACACGCAGTGAAACGAAACACATCATGTGGCCTGGCCTGGGTGATGAGATGAGCAACGAGGCTAGCCATGATGATGATGCTGATGATGATAGTAGTGGAGGGGTATCAAAAAAAGTTGGGTATCTTCTCGATTTTGCGTGTCATCCTTGCGCAGGGGCCATGCTAATCTTCTCTGTATCGTTCCAATTTTAACAGATGGAGCCTCCCTTTCGGGAGGTCCGACCTTGAGAAGGCCCAGAGGACCCTTTTGAGGGCGCCGCTCCACCAACCTCCCCTCCATTATGGGAGCGACAATTCCGTGTGCTATTTTTTGTGTCGACACCGTGCGTGTCGTGTCGTGTCGTGTCCATATTGGGGGGGGGAGGCGTACCCATTTGGCGCTGCGAAGGAGTTCGAGAAGGCGGCAGGTGAAGCTGAACTCGGTCGATGTCTTCGGCTGGGGCGCGATCTCGGCGTGCCAGTGCGAGATCGTGTACACCATGAGGCTCCGTATCACCTCCAAACACCGGTACAGAATCGACGGCTCTGCGTGTCGTGCGCATGTGTCGTGTGTCGTGTGTCGTGGCGTGTGCGGTGACATGCGTGTGGCGTGTGCGGTTGAGTGAGTTCGGACTGAAAGCGCTGCGGCGCGGTGGTGCGGTGGGAGGGGGGCGAAGAGCGCACCTCGGGCGATGAGTTCGAGGAGGGGCACGAGGATGGCGTTCTGGGTGAAGATCTTCTGCACGAACTGGTCGCGCGCGAAGGTCGGCCGCCGGGGCAGCACCTCCTTGTACTGTTCGTAGGTGGGCGTCGGGTCCTGGGTGCGCATGAGCCGCGCCAGGTACAGGTCGGCCAGCACGCCCAGCCGCTCCACGTCGTCTGCGTTGATTCGAACGTTGGTCGGTCAAAGCCGGTAAAAAGTCAGCTAACGTCGGTCAAAAGTCAGCCGCCACGGGGGGGGGGTGGAGTTACTGTGGTGAACGCAGAGCGAGAGGAGGTCGATGATGTGTCGTTGGTTGTCCTGCAGCAGCATGGCCTCCAGCAGCACCTTGTCCTGGTAGTGACTGCACACGCACGCACGCAACGGTCAACACTACCACAC